GTATCAGTCAGATACTGCGTAGGCCATCCGTGTGTACCTTCCACATTGTGCAAGCATTTCTGTTTTGATGCCTTTTAGGGAAACAAACTTATCTCAGAGCCGCTACACAGACCAAAAACCACAATGTGCTCCCATTAATATGCTTGGTCACCTTCTCCAGTGGGAAACTAGCAGCAAAAGAGAGAGTCCAGGTTCCCGGGAAATGAGCCTTCATTAAGAGAGCTATTTTGTTGAGTTTGGCACCTTAGTTCAGATTGAGGAGTCACTTTCTTCTCTGGGGCAAGGTCACCAGAACAAGCGAGAGGATGGTATTTCTTACGCAGGCCCTTCCAGGAACAGACTAAACCCAGGTGCTAACTACCTTTCATGACCTTAGTGTGAGGCAGTTTCTATGTGGCCACGTGAAGGGACTTCTGAAGGAGAGCATGAGTGTGAAACAGGTTTTATCAACATCTAAGATATTCATCTGATAGCCTCTGCGACCATTCATGGCTAGTGAAGGCGCTGAGTTAGAAAGGTTTAGTCTGTGCTCACTAGTCAAAGACAGTCTGAGGGGTAATCAGCCCACAGGCAGTCACACAATGAATCTGGACAACAGATTGGCATTTTATCCGTCTTACTGCTCCCTATGAATCCACAGCTCATTCTTATCTAGGTGCTTCGTGTATTTACTAATCTCATTTACCCTATCAATAGGGTCTTCTCTAGTTTTTAAAGGCCTGCTCTTCCTACAAACACAGCTATGAAGCTCTCTCTGATTTTCTTCCCTTAAACCTCATTGCATGTCGTTAGCATGATCTTTTAATGTCTGTTTTCCTCAGGCACTCAATAATCCTGTGACGATTGAATTATTTTATGGATGGTCTCAGGTAGGTTTCTGAACCTTCCTAGGTGGATGTTGTACAAAAGATGGTAGGTTTTGAGAAACTTCATCTCTTGTACATTTTTTTTTTAAGAAAGTGACCTTGGCCCTCATAAAAAGGCAGTTGGTTAGAAATTCTAACTGCCTGTCCTCAGATTTTCTGAGCAGGCTTCTGTACGGAGCGGTAGCTGATTGGCTGTTACCAAAGTGAAGTGGACTACTAAACCAGTAAACGGAAAATTCAGCTTTCTAGGTCTTCTTTCTTGACTTTTGTGGAAGAAAGCTTGGGAAAACACAAAAAATAAAAGAGCAACCAGACGGGCATCCCAGTAGGAGGGGATTACAGAAAGAAATAAGGACCCCCTGTAGTATGAGTTACAATGTATAACTGTTCCGTGTTAGTGGAGTAACTGCAAATGGTGGAGGAGGTAGGTTCTTTCTTTGGGGACAATTCCCAATATTACCTAGTGCCAGAGAAGAAAAAATGCCCAGATATTTGACTTATATCTGACAATTATGTAAAACTCATAATAATTATATGAGAATAACCAGAGGTAATTTAACTGCTAAGAGGCCAGTAGGGAAGTGTGATGAGGAGTAAAGAAGTTGCTTTGGTGTATAAAGATATGGATTCTGAGCTAGTATTTATTAAATGCTTATTCAGTGTAAAGTAGCTATTAGATATTTTTAATGTTATATTCATTTATTTTTTCTTTTTAAATATATTTTTATTGTTGATAGCATTACAGATATTTCCCTTTTCCCCTTTCCTCCCAGCCCCTACCCACCTCACCCGGGGTCTACAATATCCTAATTCTCACAATAACCCTGTGAAGTGTTATCCCTATTTTACTGAATAGAAAATGAGCTTGTAGCAATAAAGTATACTTTCCAAAAATCAAACATGTCAATGGGCAGAGCTGATCATAAGCCAGAGGCTGTGCCTTTTCTTTACCATGAGATGATTATTGAAAGAAGATAGTACCACACTGAGAAAAGCTGTAATATTGAAGTATGAGACTGATGTGTGTGTGGAGCAGAATTATGATGAATGAATTTTGCTGTTTTGGTGAGAATTCACCTTTAATCATTTATTTTATATTTCCACTTTTAAAATTTTCCACTTTGTGGCATCTTTGTATGTTGACTAGATATATTGAATCTGGAGAAGTTGGTTCTAAACCATCTTTGTCACTAGCTAGTAACAGACTTTGAACATGTTACTTCATGCCTCATGTATCAACTCTATATCCCATCTCTAAATGTACATTGTGTGTGTGTGTGTGTGTGTGTGTGTGTGTATGTAGCTATAATAATAAAAGCATTATATGCTCATTAGGCTGGATGTCCTTTGGATGACCTTCTGGACAAAGCCGGGGCTGCAAGGACAGCCCAGGTCCCCGGTGCCAGAGGGAAGCCGGTGCCAGCAGCCAGGGAAAAGAAGGGCGACTCTTGCACAAATTTCGTGCATCAGGCCTCTAATATGGCTGAGTTGCTAGAATAAGGAGACCTGAAGCTGGTAGCAAAACCATAAAAAGCCTAAAGATTGCACCTTAATTGTCTCTTGAATTATGTTCTCTCAGGTTTCCCTTTCCTTAATAAAAATATTAAAAAAAATTTTTTTTCAAAGTAAGTTTTTAGTTCTTTGGTCAAAGATAGATACAACTAAATCCATGCAAATAAAACTAGAGATTTTAAAAATATTTATTTGAGAGAATTGATGTGGAACAACTTTGAGGATAACTTAATAACAGATCATCCAGCCCCGCCGGTGTGGCTCAGTGACCCATTAACCAAGTCACTGGTTCAATTCCCAGTCAGGGCACTTGCCCTGGTGTGGGCTTGATCCCCAGTGAGGGGTCATGAAGGAGGCAGCCAATTGATGTTTTTCTCACATCGATGTTTCTATCTCTCCCTCTAAAACAAACAAACAAACAAACAAACAAACACATGTTTTTAAAAAAGAAAAGATTTTTTTAATTAAATAAAATAATAAAATAAAATTATTCACACTATAGTGCTGGATCATAATACATTTTAGTCAGTTTTCCAGGGGTGAGGAATACTGAGGGGTTCTAATGGTGTTGTATCACTGAACTTGAATGTTTAGCAAAAGAATACAAGATTGTCCTGGTAAGAGCACTATTTCAAAGTCTGACTGTGGTAACCTCTCCATTTAATGTTAAATTTATTCCTATACCCAAAATATAATTAAATATAGCACCATGCTGATATAATTTTGATGAACCATTTATTTCCTCTTACCTTGTGAAAATAAATTGTTTTTCTTTTAGGTATAAAAAATGCACTTCAAAAAAAACCTCTCTCCTTTGAGGATAAGTGGTGATGGAAGGATATTTGACTTAGGGTGGTAAATACACAGTACAATATACAAATAATGTATGATAGTATTTTATACCGGAAACCTGTATAATTTTATTTTATTTTATTTTTTTAAATATATTTTATTGATTTTTGTACAGAGAGGAAGGGAGAGAGATAGAGAGTTAGAAACATCGATGATAGAGAGTCATCGATCAGCTGCCTCTTGCACACCCCCTACTGGGGATATGCCCGCAACCAAGATATATGCCCTTGACTGGAATCGAACCCGGGACCCTTCAGTCCCCAAGCCAACACTCTATCCATTGAGCCAAACTGGTCCCAGCAACCTGTATAATTTATTAAACAACTAGAGGCCTGATGCACGAAATTCGTGCAGGAGTAGGCCTTCTCCCCCAGCTGCCGGACTGGCTTCCCTCTGACGCCCAGGACTAGCAGCCCCAGCTTCATCCAGAAGGTCATCTGGAAGGATGTCTGATCTAATTAGCATATTACACTTCTATTATTATAGATGTCACCTCAATACATTAAATAAAAAATTCTTCCCTGACTATATGGTAAGGATCATGAATTTCAAAACTCAACATTTGAGCTTTTATTGTCAATTAAAAGCACTGAATCAAGCACATTGAGGGAGGAGAAAACATCCATTAAATTTAATTTGCTCGGCAGTTGTCAGGAGCTGCACAGGATCTGGATTTTCCTCTCCCCACAGCTGTTAACATTAAGTCAGCGTGTCACCGTTTCTTGGATGCTGGCAAAAGACAGAAGACACCCTCCGTCACAGACAAGGTCTTTATCACTCACAGCAAAAGCAATAGCCAGGCATCAGCACGATGCCCACTCCAGTTCCCCATTCCCCTGAGGCCCATGGAGTGGGTATATATTATGGGTGGCCATTAGTTTACCAGGGCCACTAAGCAAAACACCACAGACCAGACAGGCTTTAACCACAGAAATCCATTGTCTCACAGTTCTGGAGGCTCCGAATTTGAGATCAAGGTGTTGGGGGGGTGGATTCCTTCTGATGGACATGAGGGAAGGATCTGTCCAGGCCTCTCTCCTTGGCTTGTCGATGGCTACCTTCTCCCTGTGTCTTCACATCATCTCCCCAGCACCCAAACTTCCCCTTCCTAGAAGGACACCAGTCGTACTGGAGGAGAGACCACCCTAATGTCCTTGTTTTAACTTGACCACCTCTATCACTACCTGTTCTCCAGATACAACCACATTGTCAGGCACTGGGGTTTCGGACTTCAATATGAATTTTTGAAGGGGCACAGTTCAGCCCATAGCAGATGTTCGCTTACACACATAGTGGGCGCATTACAGGAGAGGAACACTGACCTTGGGAGATTCACCATGGAAACAAGCCTGCTCTCCTCCAGGGAAGAGAGCCCCACCCCTCACGGTTTCTTACTACAAACACAACTCAGAAAAAGCCTGAGTCAAGAGAGGCCAGGGCCTTGCATTTCCGGCACATGTGGATTGTCTCTCCCCAAAAACACTGCAGTCAGAATCTCAGATTAAGGAACAGCTATGCTGCCCTCAGCGACTTTAAGTCTGGTTCTGTTTTTATGCAGAACTGATCACACCTCTCCAGAAGCTGTCTAATACCAATTAGGGAGTAAATGTAGAGCTTAGTCAACTGTTATGTTATCTGCTTTTGTCACATAAGAAATGCTTTTAATTTAAAGGAAGAGGTGTTTCTTAACTATGTCGTTGTTTAGAGCAAAGGAACTCAAGAATATGTTCGGAGTTATCAAATGGAAATAATCCCTATTTCTCCCAACAGATGGAACTGCTACTTTTATATGTTACAATTTTGCTTTTGAACATGTCTGCTTTTTCATCGGGAATTATATATAATAATGAAGGTAAGTTTAAGACTCTCTTACTCTATTTTCTTCTCGGGATTTATTTATATCCCTCCCTTGCTAACAGTTTCAATATTTTTCTTTTAGTATTTCTTCATGGCCCTATCTCCCACTGTTCCGAGGTATTACCTTTTGTACTTCGGTTCAGAGGTTTCTAATAATACTACTGTGAATGTATTGTTAGGTTGTGTACATAGAGACTTTTCTTTCGTTATAGTATTTCTTTACTCAGAAGTCATAGGCTCCTTAGAATTTAAGAAGTATTTTATATATTCGGAACTTTATTCGAATAGATCTTTTAAAATAGATCTTTTTATTTTCCTTCCATGAATAGTAGCTTATAGTCTGAATTATATACTGAATTATAAGGCTAATTGATTAAGATTGAGAAATTTTCTGATATACAATGACCTTTGAACAACATGGAGGTTAAGGAGCTGAGCCCCTGCAATCCAAAATCTGTGAGTAACTTCTGGCTCCCCCCAAATTTAACCCCAGTGGCCCCTCGGTATCTGCAGGGGTTTGGTTCTAGAAACCCCATGGACACCAAAGGAGAGCAGGGACTCAAGTTCCCTCTATGAAATGATATAGTTTGTAAAAGAATACATACAGTTGGCCCATACCCCAGTGGTAGATCAAAAGCACTATTTGAATTGGATCATAAATCGTGTTAAAAGATGGGGCAGAGAATGGAAATAGAGAGGATTACTGATGTAGGCTCTAGCAGGGTCACCTAAAACCATTGGAAAACACAGATATTTACGTTATGATTCATTAACGGTAGTAAAATTACAGCTATGAAGTAGCAACAAAAATAATTTTATGGTTGGGGGTCACCACAACATGAGGAGCAGTATGAAAGGGTCGTGGCATTAGAAAGGTTGAGAACCACTGCTTTAAAGAGTTTATTCATCAGGTGATGGAGTATCAGTAAAGATTTTTTTAAAGCAAATAAGTGGTTTGGACTTTAGAATCAAATTATAGCTTTAAAAAATAGATCTGGCAGCATTGTCAGGTGTGGGCAAAGTAACTATATGGGATGACCTGGAAAACTGTTTAACAGTATAACCTCAAAATTTACTTTAAGCCATATCTGTGATGCTAGTATTAGGTCTTCCAGAGCCCCCCTCCCTTTCATTAAACTACTTGAGGCCTGGTGCACGATATCCGTGCACTCAGAGGAGGGGGTTCCCTCAGCCCGGCCTGCGCCCTCTTGCAGTCCAAAAGCCCTCAGGGGATGTCTGACTGATGGCTTAGGCCCACTCCCTCCGGGGCCTAGTATTCTTGGAACAATGGATTATAACTCTGCCTTTTTTAATATATGATTTAATAAATATGTTTTTTTAAATGTATTAGATAAAAGCTAGTATTATTGTAACTCCAGATCCTGTTTTCTACATAATTTAAGAGGTTACTGTATTTAAGAAAGTATTAATTTATGTTTTGGGGCACACAGTGTATAAAGTTGTAAATTTGTGGCATCAATAACTGAAAGGGGTGGTGATAGAACTGTAAAGGAGCAGTTTTTTTTTTTTATGTTATTGAAGTTAAACTGCTAAATATTCAAATTAGAGTGTTTGCCTTTAGGATGTTAAATGTAATCCCATGGAAACCACAAAGAAAATAGCTAAAGAACATATACAAAGAAAATTAGAAAGGAATTTAAATATTTAACTATTAAAAAATTACCTCTATAAGAGACAGTAATACGGGAAATAAGGAAAATATGTTAAAAGGTATATAGAAAATGAACAACAAAATGACAGAAGTCTCCCTTAATCAGTAATTGTGTCAAATGTAAGTAGATTAAACTCTTCAATCAAAAGATAGAGACTGGCAGGATGGATAAAAACACACATGATCTGTCCTTGCTGTGTTGTTCAGTGGTTAGAGCGCCAGGCTGCCCTCCCTTGGGTCACAGGTTCGGTTCCCAGAATATTAATGTTTCTCTCTCTTTCTCTCTTCCCTCACCTCTCCCTCCCTTCCACTCTCTGTAAAAATCAGTGGTGGGGGGAGCGCGGGGGGAATATAACCTCAGGTGAGGGTTAACGAAAAATAAACAAAAAAACACGTGATCCAACTTTGTTGTGTATAAGAAATTTACTTTCCATCCAGATAAGAAGGGCTCTTCCACCCACCCACCCCCCTTTTTGGGAGAGGAGTCACCTTCATATTAATAGCTCTCTATTAAAACAATGTTTTTTCCAATCTCCAAATCCTCTCCCTTTCATAAGCTCACAAGGTTGAGAAGCTTAAGAATCAAAAACTATTTTTTGACCATCTCTGGAAAATTTGCACTGTGGCCTCGTATGTGATATATTTAGTCAAACCTTCCCTTTTACTATCCTGAGTTTGCATCTCCAAAAGGAAAAGTGGTAGAAGATTTAGAATTTTATCTAGAGATATATGAGTTTATAGCACACAATTATAATTGTTATTCTTTTAAAACTATTTTGTCAGTTTATAAGTATAATTTTATTGGAAATTATTCTATCATATAACCCAAGATATATATGCATATGTATTTGTATTGTTTAGTTGATGCCCTGAACAACTTTGATTGTGCCACCCAAGGATTACCCTCAAAGGATGAAATAATCAAGTTGTATCTCACCTCAGAGGACTTGGTAAGGCCCACTAATGGCACGTAGCAACCTTTCAAATTCCTTTTAGTAACTCCATGTGTAAAATCAGTAGCACCGGACTGTTCAATAACCTCCCACTGTGTTCAGACTTAAGGAGGTAAAGTTCTATCTAAATAATAATGACAAATGGAATGGTGAGCCGAGATGTTTTTCCCTGGGCTAGCATCTCACCACATGGAAAGATGAGCTGCTCAGACAAAAAGAGTTAAGAAAAAGTATGAAAAAAAATTTTTTTAATATATCTTATTGATTTTTTTACAGAGAGGAGGAAGGGAGAGAGATAGAGAGCCAGAAACGTCGATGAGAGAGAAACATCGACCAGCTGCCTCTTGCACACCCCCTATGGGGGATGTGCCTGCAACCAATGTACATGCCCTTGACCGGAATCGAACCTGGGACCTTTCAGTTCACAGACCAACGCTCTACCACTGAGCCAAACCGGCTTTGGCAAAAGTATGAAAATTTATTACAAGCAGATTCAGACACTCCGCAAAAGGTGGGAGACTCAATAATGGGCTGCACATTCAAGCCTGGTAGTCCAGGCGTATACACTGAGTGGCCAGATTATGATGATCTCTGAACACATAATAACCTGGCCACTCAGTGTATATCCTATATAATTAAAGACTAATATGCAAATTGTCCCCTTGACCAGGAGTTTGACTAGCAGACAGGCTAGCCAACCACCCATGTCCCCTTTCCCTGGCCAGGCTGGCCAGACCCCACCCATGCACGAATTCATGCACCGGGTCTCTAAAACACACACACACACACACACACACACACACACACACACTAGAGGCCCAATGCACAAAATTTGCACATGGAGGGTGTGTTCCACAGCCCAGCCTGCACCCTCTCCAATCTGGGACCTCTCGGTGAGATCAGGCCTAAATGGGCAGTCAGACATTCCTCTCAAAATACAGGACTGCTGGCTCCCAACTGCTCACCTGCCTGCCTTTCTGATTGCCCCTAACCACTTCTGCCTGTCAGCCTGATCACACCCTAACCTCTCCCCTGCCAGCCTGATTGCCCCTAACTGCCCTCCCCTGCAGGCCCGGTCCAATTTCCCTCCTCTTCTGGCCTGGTACCTCCTACATGCCCTCCCCTACTGGCCAGATTGCCCACAACTGCCCTCCCTTGCAGGCCTGGTCCCTCCCAACTGCCCTCTCCTGCTGGCTATCTGGTGGTGGCCATCTTGTGTCCACATGGGGCAGCCATCTTTGACCACATGGGGGCTGCCATCTTGTGTGTTGGAGTGATGGTCAGTTTGCATATTACTCTTTTATTAGATAGGATAGAGGCCTAGTGTGTGGGTGGAAGCCAGGTGGTTTGCCATGAAAGGTTTCCTGGATCAGGGTGGGGGTTCCCATGAGGCATTGGGGCATGATGCAGCCTGGGTGCCGGGCCTGTGGTGGTTTGCAGGCCAGTCACACACCCCGGCGACCCAAGTGGCGGCCCTGGGATCTGGGATTTATTTATCTTCTACAATTGAAACTTTGTAGCCTTCTGCTTGCTTCATGGTGGCAGCCATTTCTGTTGGGATTTTTTTTTAATCTTCAATAATTGAAACTTTGTAGCCTTAAGCAGAGGCCAAGACAGGCCTGGGCTGCAGAAGCTTGGCTTCCTCCATCGCCAGGGAAACCTAAGCCTTCCTCCTGCTTGTTCCGTGGCTGCAGCCATCTTGATTGGGGTTAATTTGTATACTTGCTCCTGATTGGCTGGTGGGCATGGCTTGTGGGTGTAGTGGAGTGATGGTTAACTTGCATGTTACTCTTTTATTAGATAGGATACACACACACACACACACACACACACACACACACACACACCTGAGGGGCCAGATGATTATATGTTCAGAGATCATAATCATCTGGCCACTCAGTGTATATTTTCTACAAGCCCGCTACTGTGTCTGTCTGTGTAGTCACCTGATGATTCCCTCAATTGTTTTACCCAGGCATGGACCTGACCTTTCCCTGTTTCTGTTTCTTTCTCTGTGCCTATGCTGGACTTTCTCTGTTCCTATGTGCTGCAGGCCCTCCCTTGTTTTCCCATGCCTCCTGCTTTGAGTCCAAAAACATTTTATTATTTCTGCTTGGTTGGTTTCTGTGATCAGGCTGCTCAAACTTCCATGTCTGCCCCTGCCACTCAGTGTATATAGACTAGAGGCCCAGTGCACAAATTGATTCATGGATGGAGTCCCTTGAGGTAGCCTGCGAGATCAGGCTGAAACTAGCAGTCCAACACCACCTGTTACTCCTGCCTGCCGCTCCTGCTCATCCCGGCCCCACTGCACCTGCCATAGGCTCATGCCCAGTCAGTCCCAATTGTGAGAGGCGGGCACTGCCACAGTGGCACTCGCCAGCTGTGAGCCTTGCCTCTTGCACCCATCCTGAAGGGGGTGAGGAAGGGGCCCTGGTCACGATTGGCCCTCCAGGCAGGAGGTGGGACACCCTTGCCGGCCAGGGATCTGGATCCATCCCACTAACATTCATGCAGGTTGTCAGAAACCACCTGGTGGCTGCTTTGATATTGTTTCTTCCTTGCTGAGCATCTAAGGAGGGGAAGCTGGTCAGTCGGTGCCTGGCCTGTTCTCCAGAGATTGGACCTGCAGGACTACTGAGGGAGTGAGTGGCTGCTGCCAGGCTGGTGGACCACCAGGACGAGTCTGTCTGCTGAGCAGTGCTCCCGCTGTGGGAGTGCACTGACCACCAGGGGGAAGTTCCTATGTTGAGCATCTGCCCCCTGGTGGTCACTGTACATCAAAGCGGCCGGTCATTCTGGTTGTTCTGCGGTAATGGTCGCTTAGGCTTTTATTATATAGACTAGAGACCTGATGCCCAAAATTCATGCAAGGGACTCCGCCCTCACACCGCAGCTGCTTGCCTTGGCCCTCATAGCCCCGGCTTCATCCTGAAGGTCATTCGGCTGTCCAGTCTAATTAGCATGTTATACTTTTATTATTATAGATGGGGAAAGAAGGGATTTAGTGGAAGAGAGAATGCTAATCCTGGGTCAAATCTTGTTCCTTCCAGTATGGTGTGTAGACCGTGGGGCAGATTACTTAAACTCTCTGGTCCTCAGTTTTGTCCTTTTTAAAGAGGAATTATAACCTACTGCTTGGGTAGTTATGATGTAGTAGGTCTAGAAGTGGTGTCAGTCGAAATAATAACTAACATTTATAAACTACTTATGCGTATCGGGCATTTTTCAAAGTCGTTTTGTGTTCATTGTGACATTTAATCTTCTATAAGTACTGTAGAGTGGTACGGAAGCTACTTGGGTTTACCGTCTGGAGCCTGCAAAATAAACTGACAAAAGACAGGTTAACAGGAGAGAGAAAAAAAAGAGATTTTCTTTATACACGCCATGTGTTTAATCATTGGGAAAACTCCATGAGAAGCAATTCAAAGGAGTGATTAGAATTGGGTCTGTATACCATCTTAACAAAGGGCCATAAGTTGTGGAGAGTGACAAGGCAGAGGGAAAGCAGTGTGGGCTTATCTTCCAACCAATCCCCATTGAATTGTAAGTTCCATGAGGGCAAGGTCTTTGTTTTTTGTACACTTGTCTTTCCCTGGCACTAGATCACTGCCCAATTTGTAGAAAGGGCTCAGTAAATATTTTTAGAATGAATGTCTCCCCACTTGGCTAGGTAACTTATCCAGGCTACTGGGAGAAATAAATGGATTCACACTCTTAGTATCAGTCAGCATTTGTGATTGCTATATATTTTTATATACCTTCTTAAAACTGGGAGATACCCAATAAAATGCAATAAAATAAGTTTTGTTGTATAATAAACATTTGTTTCTTTTTCATTTAGACACAAAATCATGATTTTTACTAAAATAGGGATTTCTACATGTGATAACATATGGCTTTGATTCTGTGTTTATTAAATGTAATAATTTTATGATTACTTCTATGACAGAGGTGATTATAAGGATTAATAAAATTCATTGTGACACTCGCATAATAGGTTACTGAGTTCTGAAAGTGAAATTTTCAAAATAGACTCTTTTCCTAGAAACTAGAATGACTAGAGATAGTCGTCTTTAGCAGCATCTAAAATTCATAGATTTCTTCTCACTTTTAAATTAATGTAATATGCTTTCTTCATTGAATTGTCATTGCTTGTTTGTTTGTGTTTTCTCTTTCCTAAAGAGAATCGAGTGTGCTTTCCAATCTGACATTAACTTCCCTTCCAAGGACTTTCTAAGCGTGTTCACATCAGGAGGAGTTACTCCCAGCTTGAGAATCATAAATAGTACATTTTCCGGCATCTTCCACTTTCATTTAAAGCTGGTAATTACATTTACTTTATTCTGTGATATATTATTTACAAGAAGCATACTCTTCTTAATAGGATGTGGGTTTAAAAAAAAAAAAGAGAGAAAGAAATAGCTAGTCCAATAATATTACATCTATATATTTTAAAACTCAACAACAATGTTATGCGTTTTGCTTTAAACAGTCATATTTTTAAAAAGAAATGAAGAGAAGAAAAAATATACATGGTTGTTTGCCATTTACCTACATATTTACTATTCCCAGTGCTCTTCACTCTTTTCTGTAGATATAAGTTGCCCTCTGGTGTCATATCCTTTTCTCTTGAAGAACTTCTTTTAGCCTTGGCCAGCATGCTCAGTGGTTAGAGCGTTAGTCTATGCACTGGAGGGTCGGAGGGTTGCAGGTTTGATTCCCAATGAAAAGCATGCCAAGGTTTCAGGTTGCTCCCCTGGCCCGTGGGAGGCAACCAATCAATGTATCTCTTTCATATCTCTCTCTTTCTCTTGCTCTCTCTTACCCCTTCTCTCCACTCCCTTTCACACTCTCTAACACTCAATAGGAAAAAATGTCCTCGGGAGAAAATCTAAAAGAACTTCTTTTAGCATTTCTTACAGTACAGGTCTGCTGGCAACAATTCTCGGATTTTTTCCCCCGTTGAGCATGTTTTTATTTCAACTTCTTGGTAACAACTTCATTAAGGTGTAATTTACATATAGAAATTCACCTACTTAAAGTGAACCAATAAGTGGTTTTGAGTATATTCATTGATTATGCAACCCTGTTTTCTCCTAAAAGGTTTCTAATTTTACCTTTTACATTATTGATCCATTTTGCGTTCATTTTTGTGTGTGGTGTGAGGTTGGGGCCCACATTGTCCTTTCACGTGCATACAATCAATTGTGCTAGCACCATTTTTAAAAATACTCTTATTCTTTTTCTACTGAATTGCTTTGGTACCTTTGTTGAAAATCAATTGACCGTAAATATGAGGGTTTATATCTGGATTCCCAATTATGCTGCATTGCTGCTTTATGTATTGATTTTTTTTTAATTGAAAGTTTTAGAGAGACAGAAACATTGATTGCCTCTTGCATGCCCCCCAACTGGGGATATATTGATTCATTTTTTAAAATTAAATCTTTATTGTTCAGATTATTACAGTTGTTCCTCTTTTTTCCTCTTTTTTCCCTAGCTCCCCTCTACCCGGTTTCCACTCCACTCCCTGTCCTTACCCGCCCCCACTGTCCTCATCCATAGGTAATACGATACTTGTCCAGTCTCTTCCCACACCCCCCATACCCTTTTCACCTTTGGGGAATATTGCCATTTTAATAACATTAAGTGTTCTAAATCATTAATATTGGCTATTTTTTATTCATTTAGTTTTTTTATTTCTTGCAACAATGTTTTGTATTTTTCAGAATCTAAGTGGTGTACTTCTTTTGTTAAATATATTCCTAATATTTTGTTCTCTTTTTTTTTTTTTACTATTGTAAAGGAAATAGCTTTCTTAATCTAATCTTCGGGTTATTCTTTGCAAATGTATAGAAATAAAATTAACTCTTGTATATTGATCTTGTATACTGCAACCTTGCTGAACTCATTTATGAATTCTAATAGTTTTTTAGTCATCAGTTTAATGTAGTGTACATTTCTAAGAATAAAATTACTGGTTAAAGGATATATGCATTGAATGTTTTTGTTTTATTTTTGTTTTTAAAGGATAGGATGTAATATGCCAAAGTAAATGTTATTATTAACATTGTAAAATACTGTTTTCTGATGTCTTTTTTAATTAAGTTCAGTGATCAAGTTTACTGGTTGATTGATATTCCCAGAGAAAACATTGCAACAAATACAGGTAAGAGTGATCTGAATTAATTATTATAGCTATGGGTCTGGATTGCCAAGTTTAGTAAATAAAAATATTATATTACCAAATTGTTTACTATCCCATGTATATGTCTCATGTCATACTAAAAATTGTGGTTAACCTGAAATTCAAATTTAATTGAGGTTTCTATATTTTTTCCAACAATTGTTTTATAGATTATTCTGACATATATAACATTTATATTATACTTTTTTAGAACTTGAAAATTAAAGTGTTGAGGAATTGGTACACCAATTAATTTTACTGAAACTGAATCATTAATCTTAAAATGTTATAGGCAATAATATATAATACTAGAGGAGGGGGACAGGGGTGTCCCTCAGCCCGGCCTGCACCCTCTCCAATCTGGGATCCCTCTCACAATCCAGGATTGCTGGCTCCTACTGCTCACCTGCCTGCCTACCATTGCCCCTAACTGCTTCTGCCTGCCATCCTGATCACCCCCTAACCACTCCCATGCCAGCCTGATTGATGTCTAACTGCTCCCCTGTCAACCTGTTTGCCCCCAACTTCCCTCTCTGCTGGCCTGGTCACCCCTAACTGCCCACCCCTGCAGGCTTGATCGCCCCCAACTGTCCTACCTTGCAGGCCTGGTCCTTCCCAACTGGCCTCCCCTGCTGGCCATCTTGCGGTGGCCATCTTGTGTCCACATGGGGGCAGGATCTTTGGCCACATGGGGGCAGCTATTGTGTGTTGGAGTGATGGTTAATTTGCATATTACTCTTTTATTAGATAGGATAGAGGCCTGGTGCACAGGTAGAGGCCAGCTGGTTTGCCCTGAAGGGTGTCCCGGATAAGGGTGGGGGTTCCCTTGGGGCATGGGGTCACCTGGGCAAGGGGCCTGTGGTGGTTTGCAGGCTGGACACGCCCCCGGCAACCCAAGCGGAGGTCCTGGTATCTGGAATTTATCTCCTGCAATTGAAACTTTGTAGCCTAGAGAGGAGCCAAGCCTTCTGCTGGCTTCATGGTGGCAGGGGATTTATTTACCTTCTATAATTGAAACTTTGTTGCCTTAAGTGGAGGCCTGGGCGGGCCAGGGTGTGTGGAAAGCTTGGCTTCCTCTATCACCTGGGAAACCCAAGCCTCCCTCCTGCTTTCTCTGTGGCCGCAGCCATCTTGGCCGGGTTAATTTGCATGCTCGCTCTGATTGGCTAGTGGGTGCGGCTCTGTGGGTGTAGTGGAGTGATGGTTAATTTGCATATTACTCTTTTATTATATAGGATGTTATTTTACTATGGAATCTGCTATTAAGTGTTAAGTGGCAGCCTATCTTTTGTGCCCATTTGCCATTTGGTGAATTATCTATTTAAATCTTCCCTGTTATATATTCTATGTACGAGTCCCTTGTCAGATACATGATTTGCAAATATTTTCTGCCAGTCTATAACTTGTATTTTTTCATCTCTTAAGAATGACTCTTGAATATCAGGGATTTAAATTTTGATTGAGTCTAATTTAGCAGTCTTTAACTTATGGATTATAATTTTGGCATTATAGCTAAGAAATCTTTGCCTAACTCAAGTTTATAGTTCTAAGTTTGGTATTTAAATTGCTGACTCAACTTGAGTTAATTTTTGTACCTTACATGAACTGAGGTTAATTTCAGGGGTGGAGGGAATGGATATGTAATTATTCCAACACCATTGTTTTTCAAGCTGTTTGTCTCCATTAAATTGCTATTTCTGAACTCTCTATCTTTTACCAATACCACACTATCTGGATTACTTTAGCTTCCTAAAATGTCCAACCCAGTACAGAGAAATAAACATTCAAGCACTGGAATAAACGTGGTGCTGTTTTTTTCAGAGTGGGACACTATCGCCTTGGTCACTTATCTAACGCCTAAGTCCTCTTTACCCAAAGTAACATGGGTTTAACAGCCACATACTAGTAGTCCTCTTCCCTATAACTCTTCATATAATTCTGCGGTTGTTCTGAGTTCTTGAACAGCGTGTGAGAGCACATAAACTTCCTGAATACAGTTGTCTGGCATTTTGGCACTGAACTCTTCCACTTCCAGTTCTGGGTGGGTCTACCAAATAACACCGTTTACACAGCCTCCTGGCTGTTCTATATGCATCTTTCACTAACTTACTAACATCACATGTGAGATTAATACTTTCTATGTGTTTAGGATGAGCAGGATCGGTACCGCCACCAAACAGAAATGTGTGCTGGGTAATAAGCATGTGGAAAGAGATGCTGTGGGTATAAAACCAATCCAGAAAATATTGGATACTACTTCCCATGAAAGTATCAAACTAATACTTTTCCTTATATTCAATCATTCCGTGTACCATTTAGAGGGTCCACATCATTATTTCTGTTTCTGACTTTAAATGAGACTTATAAAAAGTTATCCAAGATCCTCAGGGCTCTTCTTTTTAAGTTTTGTTTTTCTTTATTGATTAAGGTATTATATATGTACCCTTATCTCCCATGACCCCCCCCTCACTCATGCCTTCACTTCCCTGGTATCTCTGCCCACTGGTTAGGCTTATATGCATGCATACAAGTCCTTTGGTTGATCTCTCCTTCTTACCCCCACCCTTCCCTGCCTTCCTTCTGAGGTTTGATGGTCTGATTGATGTTTCTCTGTCTCTGGATCTGTTTTTGTTCATCAGTTTATATTGTTCATTATATTCCACTAATGAGTGAGTTCGTGTGGTATTTGTCTTTCTCTGCATAGCTTATTTCACTTAGCATAATGCTCTCCAGTTCTAGCCATACTGTTGCAAATGGTAAGAATTTCTTCTTTTTTTTTATAGCAGTGTAGTATTTCATTGTGTAGATGTACCAGTTTTTTATTTTTTATTTTATTTTTTAAAATATATTTTATTGATTTTTCACAGAGAGGAAGGGAGAGAGATAGAGAGCTAGAAACACCGATGAGAGAGAAACATCGACCAGCTGCCTCTTGCACACCCCCTACTGGGGATGTGCCAGCAACCAATTTACATGCCCTTGACCAGAATCAAACCTGGGACCTTTCAGTCCGCAGACTGATGCTCTACCACTGAGCCAAACCGGCTTCAGCTGTACCAGTTTTTTAATCCATTCATCTGCCAAAGGGCACTTAGGCTGTTTCCAAATCTTAGCTAGGATAAATTGTGCTACTATGAACATAGGGGTGCATATATACTTTCTGATTGGTGTTTCTAGTTTCTTGGATATATTCTTAGACGTGGGATCACTGGGTCCAATGGGAGTTCCATTTTTAATTTTTTTGTGGAAACATCATACTGTTCTCCACAGTGGCTGCACCAGTCTGCCTTCCCACCAGCAGTGCACAAGGGTTCCTTTGTTGGTGATAGCCATTCTGACAGGTGTAAGATGGTACCACATTGTCATTTTGATTTGCATCTCTAGGATGACTAGTGACTTTGAGCATGTTTTCATATGTCTCTTGGCCTTCCTTTGGTTGTTTATCTTCCTTTTGTTAAGTTGTATGAGTTTCCTGTAAATGTTGGAGATTAAACCCTTATTGCTGATAACATTGGCAAATACATTTTCCCCTGCAATGGGCTTTCTTGTTGTTTTGTTGATGGTTTCTTTTGCTGTACAGTAGTTTTTCATTTTGATGTGGTCCCATTTTTTATTTTCTCTTTAGTTTCTATTGCCCTAAGAGCTGTATCGGTGAAGATATTGCTTTGGTATATGTCTGAGATTTTGCTGCCTATGGATTCCTCTAATATTTTTATGGTTTCCTGTCTTATGTTTAAGTCCTTATCCATTTTGAGTTTATTTTTGTGTATGGCGTAAGTTGGTCGTCTAGTTTCATTTTTTGCATGTATCTGTCCAATTTTCCCAACACCATTTATTAAAGAGACTGTCTTGATTCCATTGTATGTTCTTGCCTCCTTTGTCACACCCTTTATTGATAAAAACCTTCAGCAAAATGGGAATAGAGGGATCATACCTCAACATAATAAAAGCCTTATATGACAAACCTATAGCCACCATTAGGTGAAATGGGCAAAAACTAAAACCATTTCACCTAAGACAGGAACAAGACAGGGATGCCCACTTTCATCATTCCTGTTTGACATAGTACTGGAAGTGCTAAACATAGAAATTAGACAAGAGGAAGAAATAAAAGGTACCCAATTTAGAAAAGAAGACTTAAAACTGTTCATTATTCACAGATGTTATGATACTGTACATAGAAAACCCTAAAGACTCCACCAAAAAATTATTAGACTTAATAAATGAATTTGGCAATGTAGAAGGATACAAAATTAATGCCAAGAAATCTATGGCACTTTTATACACCAATAGTGAACTTACAGAAAGAGAAATTAAAAAAAAAAATCCCATTTATCATTGTACAAAAAAAAAAAAAGATATCTAGGAATAAACTTAATTAAAGAAGTAAAAAGCTACTGAAATAAGAGATAGAGGAAGACATCAACAGATGGAAGAACATATGTTCATGTATTGGTAGAATCAACATCATTAAACTGTCCATACTACCCAAAGCAATCTATCGATTCAATGCACTCCCCATTAAAATAACAATGGTATGTTTCACAGACCTAGAACGAACTCTCCAAAAATTCATATGGAATTAAAAAAAGACCCCGAATAGCTGCAGCAATCCTGAGAAAGAAGAACAAAGCAGGAGGGATCTCAATACCAGATATCAAGCTGTATTACAAAGCCACTGTTCTCAAAACTGCCTGGTACTGGCACAAGAACAGACATATAGACCACTAGAATAGAGAACGCAGAAATCGACCCAAACCACTATGCTCAATTAGTACCGTTATGTTTTAAAATTTTTGTTTCATGAAAGCTATGCATCTGCCAACTTTGATCCAGTCCCATTGAAGGCCAGTTAGGTTCTCCATCAGAAGACTGACTTCCCTCATTGTGTGAGCCAGTTGCGCAGGAAGCTCCTTTTGTAGAGGCATATATGATGTTTCTCACACCATTGCCCAAAGTCCAGGAACTGCTTGATAAAGAGTAGTGGCGGCAAGCGCACAAATAGCAATTGATCTCCTTGGGTACCAGGTGCTTCAGCAGTCACTGGAAGAGCCATATCCTTGCTGTGATATAGATCTACCTCAAGTCCTGGATGGATATGAGCGCTTGTGCAGCTGAGCTGTTTGGGTCAGGCATGTTGTTCATGGGTGCACCCTGGTTCAGCCTCGGCCGCAGTCTTGGCCTGTTGGCGCAACCACCGCAGGGGCAACCAGGCTGAGTTCATCATCTTTGGCTCCTCCGAGATACCACTCATACTTTCAACTCATCTATGATTTTATATTTAAAGTGGATTTCGTAGAGTTAGCATATAGTTCAGTCTTGATTTTTACGTCTAATTTGAAAATCTGACTCTTAACTGGTATTTTTTAGATCAATTGCACTTAATGTAATTGTTGGTATGGTTGTACTAAACACACCATCAGGTTGTTTTCTATTCATCCCATCTATTCTGTTTTCCTTTTCCTTTTATGTCTTCATTCATATTACTTATTTTTTATGATTCCATTTTATCTCCAGTATTGACATGTTATTTATGCTTTAAAGTGTTCTTATTGTCAGCCCTAGAGCTTATACTACATATTTTAATTAATTACAGTCTACTTTTCAATAATATTATACCACTTTACCCAAGTGCATAATTTTCTTTTTTACAGAGCCATGACTGCTCTTAAAGAAAAATTATGATTTAAAATATTATCTAGATTCATTGCTGTGGTGATAGAACACTTTCCAATTCTTTTTTTCTTATTGTATCATCAAAATATTTGTAGGCAGACTAAATAAAATATATATAAATGCAATCAAAATGGTTGAGAAATGAAGGGTCATAATTGTTGATAATGTTCATATGGACTTAAATTTTACCAACATGACATACTAAAGATTAGTTAATTATTTGCCTTTTGTTTTCAAATAGATATTGCAGCTGTAGAAGAATGGGTAGTAAGAATTTCTTTGCAACATGAATTAAATTCTTATACTACTGAAGGAACATTACTGGATAAAGTTCGAGGTAACATGGGATTTGTAATATTCTCGCATCAAATCTTGTAACCTACTATATGCCTAACTCTGTGCTAAGTACTAGAAGTAAGTAATTAGGAAATTATCATGACTCTGAAGGGGCTCACAATCCTAATGAGGCAGACAAAGAATGAAAAACATGTAAGTAATTGTTAATAGAGTGATATAAAGGGTGCTGTAGAAATATGGAAATATGTTTTCTCAATAGCCACATTGCAGGTCAGAATAAACAATGACTTTCTAACGTTAATTCTCGCATCTTTTATAAAGATGTTTTAGAAGATACTGTTCATTGCATCAGTCTTCCTTAGGACCATCAGCAAAATTTCTTGTTCAGTCTTAGTAAGAACATTTCTATTTTTCATGAAAAATTGGTTAACCTTAAGGTTATAAACACTGAGTGATATAACTGAGTAGGGTTTTTTTTTTCAGTTGTCTGTTTCATAGCCCAATTTTTGGATTACCTATAATGCTATAGTATAATTTTTTTTAAATTCTCAGCCCTTGATTTTGTATTTATCCTCGCTTTCCTTTTTACTTTTATTCTTCACTCCCACTTTAATAGGATGCTATGCAGAGTAAATATAAATAGTACATTTTATGAAAAAGATCACCTTGGTAGCTTTAAGAAAAGTAAAAATGTCTGTACCACCCCTTATACCCCAATTAAAATCTCATCTCCATAAGTGGGGCCAGGTATCTGTTGTTAAAAGCAAAGATTCAGATGTGCAGAGCTGCTCTTGAGAAAAGATTCCATGGGTACCAAGAGACATATACAAACCTATTTAATGCAACATTTTTTGTAACAAGTAAGATGGAAAACAACATAAATGTACAGCAATAGGGAAAGGACAAATGTATGTGATATGTTCTGTTAAAATGAAGCAAATAGACCCATGTATGTCATCAAGAACAGAACTCAAAAACATTGAGTGAAAAATCAAGTTTCAGGATAAAGTAGGAAAGCATTTATCTAAAACTCAGAAAATTCATGCCCAGCCATTGCAGCTCAATGGTTGAGCATCAACCTATGAACCAGGAGGTCTTGGATTCGATTCCTGCTCAGGGCACATGCCTGAGCTGCGGGCTCGATCCCCAGTAGGAGGTATGCAGGAGGCAGCCCATCAATGATTCTCTTTCATCATTGATGTTTCTATCTCTTTCGCCCTCTCCCATCCTCTCTAAAATCAATAATATATATATTTTATATATATCAGGAAATTTATTCAAGAAATAAAGCAATGCTATATCTTGTTCATGGGTACATACATATAGCAGTGAAAAAAGAAAGGCATTGGACTAGAAATACACACAGCAATTTCATAATAGAGGTTGCGATTGGGAAGAATTTGGGAATGGGACTGTGGAGGGGAGCAGAGGTATCTTCAATCATATCTGTATTGTTTTCTTTCTTTACCATAAATGAACATATCTAAAACAAAAAGAACAAAATGCTGTCTTTCCTCTTATCATAGTGTCCACAATTTTTATCAGTAGCGAGTCAGTTATTCAATAGTCATTGCAAGTCTTTGAGACTGTGATATTTTGATGTCTTATGCTACTTTTAAATACTAAAATAACAACATAAAGTTCTATCCATTTAAAAAATAATCTGAAATCTGAGTCATCTACATATTGAGATGTACCCAGAGTGTTACATACTGCATTAAAAACTAACGTACACTTATTTAGAGTATACAGAGCTTAACAAATAAGTAGTTCTTAAAGGTTCCAGCTGTAGCACTGGGATCCACCTGTCAGAGGATCTGAGAGGTGACCGGTGTTGGGGGAGCATAGTAAGTGACAGGCAGAGTCGTGTATAATGCCCTTGAGAGGCTGGCAGGGATCATGGTAAAAAGTCTGGATTTTATTCTAGTTAGAGTGAAAAGCTGTTGGAGTGTTTTAAGCAGGAGAGTGATAAATTCTGATTTATGCCTTATAAAAAGATCACGTTGGCTGCTGTGTAGAGAACTGAATATTGGGGGAAGGATGGCAAGAATAGAATAAAGGAAATTGGTTGGCAGCTGATTGCCCTATTCCACTCAAAGAATGGTCCGGAAGTCCTTGGGCTGTGGGGTTAGCAGTAGAGGTGGTGAGAAGTAGGAGTCTTCAGAATATGTTTTGGAAGTAGAGCTGATATGACTTCCTGGTGGACTGGGGGTGAGGGAAACCAGGCATGGAGGATAAATCCTAGATCTCTTACTGGAGCAACGCCCTGGAAAGTCAGCTGCCCTGCCCCACATCTCTCTGACTTTTGGCATGGATTCGTTTGGTTATAAATCGTGTCTCTTTTCCTTCTTGGCCGTCCCGACACTATGTCAACCCAGATGGAAATCTAGTTCCTTTCCTGGCTTTGCGCTCCGTGAAAAATATATCATGTGCTGTCTTTGGTTTTGTAGCAGATTTTATTAAAAGTTTGGGGAGGCGGAGGAGGTTTACACTGAAGAAATGTAAACAGTTCAAGAATTGATTATCAGATATCTCTATTCTTTAAAGTCCTTTGACTATGTTTTTGAAATTCAGAGAGCAGTATTCTGTCAGATTTCCCTGGCTTACTTTTTGGATGTTCTTTTCTCATTTCTTTTCTTTTCTTTCTTTCTTTCTTTCTTTCTTTCTTTCTTTCTTTCTTTCTTTCTTTCTTTCTTTCTTTCTTTCTTTTTCTTTTCTTCCTCCCCCCCCCCCGAAGAAAAGAAAGCCTCCCATTTTCTTATGCAGTAAAATTTGACTTTATTCGGCTCCAACCCTTTGTATTATACATCCAAGAACAGATTGCTGGGTTGAGCTGTCCCACCTCTGATTATTTTCTCCTGTAGGTTCCACCCTCTTTCTGTCTCCCAGAATTCCAAGTGTCTTGGCCACTAATGATAACTTCCCTGTTCTCCACTGTTACTCTGGATTTATTCTTGTTTTCATGTATCTACTGATGATAAGATGGTGTTGGGAGAAGAGAACAAAAAGTAAATGTAACCAGGCCAGCATGGCTGAGTGTCGACCTATGAACCAGGAGGTCAAGGTTCAATTCCCAGTCAGAGCACATGCCTGGGTTGTGGGGCTTGACCCCCAGTATGGAAGCGATCAAAGATTCTCTCTCATCATTGATGTTTCTATCTCTCTCTCCTTCTCCCTTCCTCTCTAAAATCAATTAAAAGATAATAAAAAATAAACCATAAAAGTAAATGTATGGATTCTTGAAGCAGAAGTTGTGCTCCAGTTTATAAATGTGCATAACCTGTGACCCAAAGATTCAGTTTCTGGGGGTAGATCCCGTAGCCAATTATCCAACTTTCCAAAGATCGCCAAGGCTGTCAGTATGTTCCATCTCACAAGCGCTTCTGCAGGGTGACCTTGCCAGGCCCCCATCAAGGGCAATTAGGCTTCATTCTTCCTATTCTGGGAAATAAAATTTGACCTATTTTTAATGAATGAAGAGGGAGGTAATATCCCCATCTTTGGAACAATGGAATCGTTCATTCACGTTGTAGCTCTGAAATCCTTAAAGGAAAGAAGCGATGTTCCATCTTCAAGAGAGCTGCCGCTATTTACACACCTGCACTTGGTTTTCACAGAGCCCATTCTTCAGTGGAACCTTGGGACTGTCATAACAAAAGACAACATCGAAAAGCTATTTCCCCAGCTGGCTGACCTGGTAGCCACAAAATGCCCCTGCGCCAACGACGTGGCATTGCTTGGCTTCCTTCTGAACCCGGCACTTAACGGTAAGGGAAGGGCTTTGATGAAAGTGAGAAGTGAGGTTTTGGACTTTGGAACAGCTGGTATGTGTTTAACTGGTGGTACATGCTAAATGTGTGGACATGGGAGTAAAAGCACTTCCTAAAAATACCTAAGGGTTTATCTTTTCGTCACGGCACCCCGTCTGCTTGCAAGTGTGATTTACGATTTTTCTCCCTGTGACTTCTTGCCATTTTGACTTGAGCATCTTTCCTGATTTCCTTTGTCCTCTGTCTTCCACCAATGCCTCACTTCCTGCCAGAGCTTATTCAAGGCGATTCTCATCCATCTCTTTGCGCATGGCTGTTCCTGTCATGTGTAAACGGGCCCTGCAGTTCTAAGGTACCACAGCATCATTATATTTATTATGTATGTGCTTTGCCATTACTACTGTAATGCTAGGATCCTTTCATATTTCAACTACTAATTGCATTATTCTAGTTGTTTATCTCAGGTCCTTGATGACCTCCTGGTCCCCAAAAACCAGTAAATATGAAGGTACAAGTAAATAAATAAATTTTTAAAATAAGAAAATTTTATCACTCATAGTTAATATATATATATATATATCCACATACAAGTTTGAAAGACTCCACTGAAAAGCTCTCAGAACAAATGTGGGAGTGCCACAGAATTAAAGGCTATAGTAACAATTGATGAAAACCACTCCACCAAAGACAAAAAAAATTTTTAATTTTTATTCAGAAAGTAACAAACCCCAAAAGGTACCTAGAAAGAAACAAAACAAACAAACCCTAAAGAGTTGCAAGACCTGTTGTGCAGAAATTATAAAAGTTTGAAGGAGGCCATAAAAATGACTAAATAGCCGAAACCGGTTTGGCTCAATGGAAAGAGCATCGGCTTGGGGACTGAAAGGTCCCAGGTTCGATTCCGGTCAAGGGCATGTACCTTGGTTGTGGGCATATTCCCAGTAGGGAGTGTGCAAGAGGCAGCTGATCAATGACTCTCTCTCATCGATGTTTCTAACTCTATCTCTCTCCCTTCCTCTCTGTACAAAATCAATAAAATATATATTTTTAAAAATGACTAAATAAATAAAATGTTTATCTCCATGAACAGGAACTTCTAGTATCTTAAAGATATTAATTGTTTATAAATTTATCCATCAATTCAATACAATTCCAAGAAATATTACAGCAGTGTCTGTGTGAGAGAAAGAGAGAGAGAGAGAGAGAAAGAGAGGGAGGTAGAGAGAGAAAATTGATAACCCAATCCTTGAAATCATATGGGAGAGTGAAGCAATATGAATAACACAATTTTTAAAAAGAATAAAAAGAACATAAACTTGCCCTACCATGATTTACTATAAAGTAATAGATTCAAACTATGCCTTGGCATATGGAAAGACGATTAGGCTTTCCCCAACTTTTTTTGCATTTCCAATGGCTTTCAGTCTTTGTGATCTCTAGCTCACTAGCCTGCTTGTGCTGAATTGTTTAGTTAGAAATGTGTCTCTTTCCCCTCCATCTCAACTCACGGAAGTTCAGTCCTTGTCCGGCTTGTTCTATGGATGCCAGGCTATGGCCCCTCCTCCTTCCCTTAAACCCCTAATCCTGCCTTACTTCTGTGAGCCACAGGAGAGGAGCTGTGCTTAATGTCTTGAGCTCAATATTGCCACACAAGTGAGAATCACAGAGAGAAGGGACAGGCTCTGCTTGCTAAGGTTTCTCTCAGTAGATCACCACCAGGTCTTAAGAAAATAAATTGCTTCAGCAACATGTTTTTTAAATAGGTTTTATTAATTTTTTACAGAGAGGAAGGGAGAGGGATAGAGTTAGAGACATCAATGAGAGAGAAGCATCAATCAGCTGCCTCCTGCATGCCCCCTATTGGGTATGTGCCCGCAACCAAGATACATGCCCTTGACCAGAATCGAACCTGGGACCCTTCAATCTGCAGGCGGACACTCTATCCACTGAGCCAAACTGGTTAGGGCCAGCAACGTGTTCTTTAGATGAAGCCACCTTTCCCCCAGCTGGCCACCACTGCACTCAAGCAAAAAAGAGGCTCCCGCAGTATGAAGCTGCCCCTGCCACAACTAGCAGTTCCTAGGGGAGGCCCTTGTCCAGCCCCGCAGCCTTCAGACCTCATGGAATTAATGGTGGGAACCGGTATCCAGCAGCTCAGGGGGGGCTCCAGTTTGCACTTATGACCTGCTTCTTCCTCAGGGACACTGCTAACACCCCTGCCATGCCTCCCATCCTAGTGTTAACAGTCACCCAGAAACCTCCATCTCCTAGGCCACCCATGGTCACCCAAACACACAAACTGTTCTGATTTCCTTTCATTTCACCCAAAATCTGCCCCTCTCCACCCAACCAAATCCATTCAGGGCAATTTGTGGTCTGTCATCTATAAACTCCCCAACACTTCCAATCTTTACTCTGAACGCCTCCCTCACTTCCATGCCACAAAGAATAACCTGGCCATTCCCAGGTACCGTTCTTCCTCCTGTAGCCTCCTCCCCCAAGTGTCGCGTGTCTCAGAGCCAAGGGGGGGGGGGGTGGGGACACAACACAGGGTTGTCATCCCTGTTTCCCAGAGCTACTTCTGAATAATAATAACTCTTGTCTTCTCCTCTGAAATACCCAGTTCCTTTGAACTCAGACTTGCCTCCCTCTACTGCTTCTTATTGCCAGCCTGTGGTGACCTTCCCATCACTCACCCACACTCACTTAGACCCCTGACGTCCTCTCTGCCCTACTTCTGTTACTATTGTCCCAAACTTATGAATGGCCTGTGCCATACTCAGTTCCAAGGCCTCCTCTCCTTCACTGATCTTCCCCCATCTTACTTCTACAGTCATATTCTTGACCTTGTTGTCTCTAATAATGTTACTCCTCCCAAATCTCCGCTGCAGGCATCTCACACTCTGCCCACTGGCTCCTGTTCTTTCAGCCTCTCCCGGTACTCACACTCCAACTTCTCTTTGATTTCATTGAGACTTCACCGTGGTGTCCCTCCCACTTTGTTCATCACCCAGAATTTGTCCTTCTTTTTTTCCACCATCATTTGCATAGTCCATCCTTATAAATACTTCTGTAACTTCCTCGCCCTTCTCTATCTCCCTTACCTGCATTAACCCAGCTCTGGTTAAAACCACCTCCACCCCTGCCTGGAATAGCAGAATACTGCTAGAAAAAAAGAAATGTGCATGCTTATCCCACTTCAATTCCAGCAGCTGGCCTGACTGTAAAATTTGGGATCACAAGTCTCAAGTAGGTACTCAGCACTGCCCAGAAATCCCCTCTCTCTTCCCTGGCATGTTTATTTTCCCTCTTGGCAGAATGAGCTCAGCACACCTCTTCCCATTCCTCAAACCCTCAACATCACCTTCATTTTCTATTCACTCTCAGCTGCGCCTCTGATTCTTCATGTAGAAAACCAAGACTGATGGCAAGAACTCGATCCTTGTGCCTGCGTGCTGCCTTTCACCTGTATTTGTACTCCCCTGCTTTGTCTCTTTCATTGTGGGAAGTGACTCTGCTTGCTGTCTAAGGTCACTCCTCACCCTTTGTGTTTTGGATCCCAAGTCCTGCCCAGCCATCTGAAGAGTCTTACTCCTGCATCTGGCCTGCACATCTCACCTTTCATGTATGTTCTTCCGTATGGGATCAGGTCATCAGCATACAAGCATACCCTGTTAACCCACAGCTTTAAGCAAAATCTCGCTTTATTCCCATCCCCCATTTTTCTGTTTTCCTTCAAAGCCAGAAATTCTGGAAAGAATTTATTGCAGATGGCGGCTCCATTAACACACCAGACCTGTTCCCACCAGTCTACTGACCGGTTCTTCCCAAGGCCACCCACAGGCTCCACATTGCCGGTTCTCTTTCAGCAGCATTGACCCAACTGACCACTCGTTCCTCAAAACATTTTATTCTCTTGGCTTTCTTGACACCACCTCCGATGGCTTTTCCCTTGCCTCTTAATCACTTCTTAGTTTTCCCGGCTGCCTTCTTCCAGTGTGACCTAAAATGCTGATGAGCCCCCGGGCTTGGTCCGTGGCTCTCCTTCCTGAGGTAACCACTTTCTCTCCCTGCGAAACCTAACCCAGTGCCAGGGCCGGGAATGCCATTTTCAGGCTGACAGTTCCCACATCTGCATTTCTGGTGCTGACCACACCTTGGAGACCAAACTCCTTTACCTGACTGTCGAGTTTACATTTGTCTTGCTGTGTGATGAGCATCCCAATCCAGAACTCTTGATTCATCTCCCTCTAAAATCAGTTCCTCTTCCTAATTAATATCGGGTAACTCAAAACTAGAATCTAGGACACATTCTTAACTGCTCTGACTCCTGACATTCCAGGATGGTGCTATATCCAGCGTCTGTCCCCAAGGTGACCACTTTTCACCTCCACTACAATCTTATGTCAAGTCCACATTGTTTTCCCACAAGACTAATTGACGGCCTTTAATGTGGTCTCCCCCTTTTCTGGTCTTGTCCCAGTACACTCAACTCCCACACAGCCACCAGAGTGATCTTCTTGAGTGGCAGTCAACTCACATCACTTATCAACTTCCCTTTGCCCATTAGAGTAAAATCCAAACTCTTCACAAAATAGGTTTTCACGAGGCATTAGCAAATATTTTTCTATCTCTAAAATCACAAATATTGAAGTAAATCAAACATAATTTCTCCTCTCTGGGAGTTTACAATTTAATTTTTTTCTTTAGATTTTTTTAATTGTTTACTAAAGTTGTACTAATGATATAAGGACATATTAATGCTCAGAGGGATTTTAGGGAGGAAAAACTCTTCATCTACTTTTTTAGGTTCAATCCCAAGGGATGTGAATTAGACTTCAAAGATTACCAGGAGAAAAGGAGTGCAATTTTTCTTTTTCTTTTTTTTTCTTCTTCTTTTTTTTTTTTTACTGATTTTTTACAGAGAGGAAGGGAGAGGGATAGACAGTTAGAAACATCGATGAGAGAAAAACATCCACCAGCTGCCTCCTGCACACCCCCAGTGGGGATGTGCCCGCAACCAGGGTACATGCCCTTGACCGGAATCGAACCTGGGACCCTTCAGTCCACAGACCAATGCTCCATTCACTTAGCCAAACAAGTTTTGGTGGGAGTGCAATTTTTATTAATATTTACATTCAAGGGAGTTCATAGAAAATAAGTGAATGAAACTCAAAGTAGTAGTTAAACTCAGAAGTTTCCATGCCATTTGAACAAAGGAAAGGATGATGAAGTGTAGGGAAGTGACTAGGAAATAAGCAGGTTGGGGAAGGGGAAGACTAATAAGAGTTATTTTGTAAGATCTTTTTATACAAACCTGTCTCAGTGTCTGCTCTAGTGATAGGAGTGTTTTCTTTCTGGTACAATAGAGCACTTTTCTCAAGGAGAAATTTATGCCCTGCTTTTAGGCAGATGAGGGGAAGATAGAGAACACCTCTTGCATCTATTGATTTCAGTGGCCTTCAACTCAAAATAATCCTGATGGCTAAGTGGCATGTTTTGGGGTGGCATATTCTGACCCCACTTCCATATAAAACAAAATACTTCGTAATTAAATCAGATGGTTGGCTAACATCCTGTGGCATAACCTGAAGTTACTTCATCTTCCCAGTGCTTGGGGAAGTGAGATTCAATCTGAGGGCAGTGGAGGGGAGGTTGGAAGATGAAGCAGGCTCTGGCCCATGAAGACCTCACACCACAGAAGCGAGTTACTCACTTTATCTTAATTTTCCTTCCCTCTCCTGATAGGTGTTTACTTAGGCCTCACCTTTTCCGGATTTTGGCATTATGATGATACCACCTGGTATAACCTGACAGACATGATCTATTCCAAAATTGGAGAAGGTAAATCCTCTAACAGTGCCCTCATCTTCAACATTTCATCTCTGTCAGCATTTGATCAATATTTCACCTTCTCCTTACTTTGTAATCCCCACGGTATGATTTCTTCCTTTAGAACATACACAGCTTTCAGTGGTGGATATGGTCTTAACAAATCATTTCTTAGTTATCCTCACCTCGTTGGGACTTTTTATAAGTGGAGATCTTCGTTATCCATCAACCCCTATTCTAAAGGTATGTGAACTGCTTTGTAATGAATAGTTAACCTTAAATGTCTTTCATGACATAAAGTAGAAACATTGAATACTTGAATTATATATGGTATATCTTAAAATTGAAATGCTTCTTCCTTTTAAAAAAATGTAAAAGCATAATATTGTGACTTCTTTTGCCTTATTATTAATATTGTGTTGAATATTTTGAAATGGTGCTAGTGTTGTTATTATACCAATTTATAGTAAGTTTTAAATACATATAAGTAGAAAATACCCTATCTATCTACCTATCTAGCTATAGTTATATATGTTCCAAAATGCTTTGATGTGATTTGTAAAGCTAAATATCATATTACAAAGTTACATAAATTAAATTAACTCTTGCGATTGAAAGAAGAGAATATACATTTTGGTGAAATTATACAATATGCATAGCATGAAATTTTTAAGCATGTTGATGAATACCTCTCAAAAATTACCATAGCAGAAATATGTGTAATAATAAAGATTTAGAAACAATAGAAGAAAAGATAAGAGTTAAGTATGGAAAGGGCAATTGTATTGGTTGAGAAGTAGATATTTCTTATGCATGGCAATTATTACTTTTCTTCAGCTATACCAATATTCACAGCCTCCCCGCTTTCTTCCCTATCTCTGAGAAAGTACCATTTGTTGCTCAATTAATCTGGCCTTCCGTGCGCTTATCACGGGATTGCTGAAGCAGAGTTGTGGACAAAGCACAGAGGGCCTGACCCAGAGACTGCACTGGGCTGGGCAGAAGGAGGCCAAGGAGAAAAGGACAGATTTAGGGCGTGCCTTCCTAATCCCAAGTGGGTGACAGATTTAGTGTATTTCTACACACTTCTCAGCTCCTCCATTTAAATCATCAACAGATGGGGTTTGGATTCCAGACCCTTTCTGGGATTAAGTTAAGGTATAAAGTAATCAAATGGTGAAACAAGGCAAAGACTGAAGAGGGAATCTCCAGGATATTGTGTAAACCTGGTAAGAGGCTGGTTTCAGTGCGACTCTCCTGACCACTGGGATATAAAGGAAACATTGCATTTAGTGTCATTTCAATTGCTGCAGTTTGTTATGCCTTTTCATATCAAGCAAACATTAAAGTTCCTTTTCTTTTCCTTCTAGTTTTCAAGGGCAGACTTTTGTGGTTTTGAAAGGGTAAGAAGCTTTACATTTCCAAGGGTTGGTTAAAAGATATGTTTTCCTTTGTGCCCTAAGAAATGAAGTACAAGACAAGAATTCACAATATCCCTGTTGTTATAATATTACTTATCATTTGAGCTAAAAAATATATATATATATTATATTTCTACCAACTCTCAAGCAACGATTCCTCTTCTGGTTCCAAGAAAAAAAGTGCCTTCCCTTATTTCAGAGGCCACGCCCACCCCTGCTGACCAGGATTGTTTTGGGTGTTCGGGTGTTTTCTGCAGGGCACCCAGTTGAAAGGGGGGGGGGGGGGGGGGGGGGGCTGAAATCTGACTAACACTTTATGCCCCATCCATCTACCCCATGCAGGACTGTGCCTACCTGAAGAAAGTCACTTTCTAATTTGCACAAAAGGCCATGTAAGCTAGCCACACCTCGGTGTCTGGCTTTTTGTGTGGATCTTATTCTATCAGCTATCTTCCCTCTCTGTTACAAGATCAAGGTCAAGTTTCATGATTCAATGGGTCATTTCCATCAACATAGAAGCATACTTTCCTTTGGAAAGCACAACAAAAATGTATTCCTAGCCTCTGCCATGACTCCTCCTCAATCCTTCCTCACACATACCTGCAGGTGCTCAAAAGGGAAGTAATTCTTAAAAATGATAAGGATTTACCTTTAGATAAGACCTTTTTGATGATGACGGAAGGAAGGGTAGTAAGAATGGGATGCTCGTGGCTGTTTGGGCAGGTTTGAAGGAGTTACTACTTGATGACTTACTCATTTACTTACTCATCCATTTTGCAAATATGTGTTGAGTACTTTCTATAGTCTATAGTTGTTTAGACAAGAAGAATTCCATAATGAATAAGATACAGTCCCTGCTCTCAAGGACTACTAAGGGAGATAAGTGCACAAAAAATGCATAAAATGATGATAGGTAGTAATCAGGGCTTATTGAAATTAAAACAGGTAATTAAAGCAGGTTAATAGAGAGTGAAGGGAAGATAGCATTCTGCTTTAAATGGGTGATTATAGCAGACCTCTCCAAGGAGGTGAAGTTGAAGCAGACTCTTGAATGACTTGAAGAAGCACATTCAGACAGAGGTAACAGCAGGTACAGAGATGCTAAATTGGGAAATTAGCATGAGAAACAATTAGGCGCCATAATCCACTCAGTAGAAATAGTGGGAACTGCCATAACCAGTTTGGCACAGTGGAAGAGCATAGGTCTGAGGACTGAAAGATTCCTGTCAGGGGCGTGTACGTTGGTTGCAGGCACATCCCCAGTAAGGGGTGTGCAAGAGGCAGCTGGTCGATGTTTCTAGCTCTCTCTCTCCCTTCCTCTCTGTAAAATATCAATAAAATATATTTTTTTTTAAAAAGAAGAAAGAAAGAAAGAAAGAAAGAAAGAAAGAAAGAAAGAAAGAAAGAAAGAAAGAAAGAAAGAAAGAAAGAAATAGTGGGGACTTTGGCCACTTCCTCAAGGATACAATTCTAAGTTGTGTAAGACATACAAGTTCCCAGGCTCAAACAGAGGGAGCTGGGCTGCGAGGCAGAACCCCGGGGGAGCGGCGAAAGGAGGTCCCGGAGGCGCGCACATTGCGCACAGAGAAGGGACGGTTGGCTGTGCTGCGGGATTGCCTGGCGGGAAGGAGACAGGGGCTCCAAACTGCTCTGAATGCCACCCCCAATTCCACTTCCAACTGAACTGAACCCCAGTTCCGGGCTCATTGGGGGAAAGCATAGACTGTTTGGTAGCAAGCAAAAATCGAGGGCACCTTTCTCTCAGAGGCGCTAGCAGCGAGTACTGAAGGACCCTGAGCCTCAGGAGCCGCATAGGGAGGGGCTGATGGATGCCAAAGCTGTAGGCTCCACCCTGAAACCCCGCCCCATCTGTAGCTGCGAAATGTGACAACGAAATAGATCACAAACGAAAGAAATGGAGGACAAAAAGCGACTGGATATAGAGTTCAAATCTACGCTTATAAGGTTTTTCAAGAATTTCCTAGAAAAGATCGATAAGACCTATAAGGATATGAAAAGAGATCAACTAGAATTAATAAGGAATCAACAAGAAATGATAAGGGATCAACAAGAGATAAAGAATACAATGTCTGAAATAAAAAAATATTATACAGAGTCCTAAAAACAGAATGGAAGATCGCAAGAATCAAGTCAAAGATTTGGAACATAAAGAGCCAGAAGACACTCCTCCACAGAAGCTAGAAGGCAAGAGAATCCAGAAAATTGAAGATAATGTAAGAAACCTCTGGGACAACTTCAAGTGAACCAACATCAGAATTATGGGGGTCCCAGAAGATGAGAGAGAGCAAGATATTGAAAACATACTGAAAGAAATAGTGACAGAAAACTTCCCCCACCTGGTGAAAGAATTAGACTTACAAGTCCAGGAAGTGCACAGAACTCCAAACAAAAGGAATCCAAAGAAGACCATACTAAGACAAATCATAATTAAAATCCCAAGAGCAAAAGACAAAGAGAGAATATTAAAAGCAGCAAGAGCAAAGAAGGTAGTTACCTATAAAGGAGCACCTATATGATTGTCAGCTGACTTCTCAACAGAAACCATGCAGGCCAGACGGGAATGGCAAGAAATATTCAAGGTGATGAATAGTAAGAACCTACAGCCAAAGATAATCTATCCAGCAAAACTATCACTCAGAATCGAAGGTCAGATAAAGAGCTTCACTAATAAAAAAAAGCTAAAGGAGTTCATCACCACCAAACCAGAATTATATGAATTGCTGAAGGGGGTTCTTTCAGAAGAGAAAGTAAATAAAGATAAAAATTATGAACAACAAATACGTAACTATCAACAAGTGAATCTAAAAACCAAGGAAATTTTTTTTTTAAAAATCTGATGAACAATATTAACTGTTGAATATAATAGAATCAGAGGTATGGAAGGGGAGTGAACTGACTATTCTTGGGGAAAGGAGAAGAGGGGGATGTGGGAAGAGACTGAACATAAACTGTGCACCTATGGATGAGGACAATGGGGGGTGGGGAAAGGAGAGCAATGGAGGGGGGGGGAAGGAACATTTGCAATAATATGAACAATAAAAATTTATTTTAAATAAATAAATAAATAAAAAATAAAGTGCAAATTCAGTGGACTTCAGTCTATTCACAGAGTTGTGCAACTATTCCCATGATCAATTTTAGAACATTTAAAAGGATTTTAATGCACACATTATACAGATTTTATTACTGACCTCTAAAAATATACAAAGGTCTCTCTTTTGTCTCAACAATAATTTGAAAGTCAGACTCTGCCTATAACCAAAAAACCACCTCAAAGTCTTGCACATAATTCATATACAACATTATACAATCTCCCTTTCTTAAAAGTTTCTCTCGTATGGCCAGTTTTTCAAAACCTATATTTTTGTGGCTTTTTTTCTTATTGCTTCTTGCCCCTGTCAGGCTTCTGTGAAGAGTCCCTAAGCCTGGCTGCAGCTAATGAAAAATAGAGGATACACATGTGACCCATCGTGACTGTGGTGAAAGGCTAATCATTTCTGTGGCTTCCAAATGACTAGTTCAGAGTCTGGGACATCTGCCATCAACACATGCTAATTCAGATGAAATTTCTTTTTATGTGTGTGTGTGTGTGTGTGTGTGTGTGTGTGTGTGTGCGTGTGTGTTGTTCAAAAGCATTAGTCTTGTTTCTTGTCCTCATTCTACAACATTTTATTTGCATATAATATTTCTCTCTTTACTTGTCCCCATTCCTGAAATATTGAACTTTAAAATTTTTTAAAGGTTTTCTAATTTATATCTTAAGTCCACATAATACCTAAATGATATTTTTATTTATTTATGTAGGAAGACTATGTCAAAGGAAAACTGTGGTATAATGAAAGATGTTTTGCTAACAGAGAACACTTTGAAGGTAAATTTTAGGTAAAGAGATATTAACAGGCTTTTTTTTTTTTTCAATATGTATAGCACATATAGATGAAATAAAATCCTATATAATAAAAGCCTAATATGCTAGGTATGCGGTCCACTGTTTAGCTGTTCAACCAATCAAAGCATAATATGCTAAGGATATGCTAAGGCCACTATGCTATGCACTGACCGACCACCAGGAGGCAGACAGTTGACTAGTCAACCAATCGCTATGATGTGCACGCACCATCAGGGCGCAGATGCTCTGACCGGTAGGCTAGCTTACTGCTGGGGGCCAGTCGATCAGGACTGAGCAAGATGGGCTGGACAGACCCTGGAGCCCTCCCACAGTTCCTCCCTGGCTAACCAATCTCTTATGTTTCTCCCCAGCCCTGATCATGCACCAGTGGGGTCCCTCAGCCTGGCCTGCATCCTCATCTTCTCACAATCAGGTACCCCTTGGAGGATGTCAGAGAGCCAGTTTCAGCTGGATCCCACAGGGGGAGCACCACCCAGCCAGAAGCCAGGCTGACAGCTATCAAGTGCAGTGGCAATGGCAAGAGCCTCTCTTATCTCTGCAGCAGTGCTAAGGATGTCCGACTGCTGGCTTCGGCTTGCAGCCACAGTCAGACATCCCCTGAGGGCTCCTGGACTGTGAGAGGGCATAGGCTGGGCTGAGGAACCTCCCCCCCCGCGCCCCCCCCCACACACCCAAGTGCACGAATTTCATGCACTGGGCCTCTAGTGACCAAATAAAAATAGAATAAAATGTAAAGATAAGTTTATTTCATATAAGTTCATGGCTTCAAACTAAGAAGAGCAATTCATTTAATTCTGAAACAACAGACATGTCTTGCAAGAAAATTGATCCTCATATATTTAATGATGAACTTGAAATATAGATGCTGCTTGTAATTTCTATACCTTTATTTATATTTTATAGTTGACTATATTACTGTCACCTTTGAGAGAAACAGGACTTTAAGTGAGGTATGGCATTGAATATTTTAAAAGGTAAGAAGTTCTATTGTGCATGATTTTTATGGATTGTTATTCATCAAAAACAGTGGCAGTTCCACAGCCTGAGAGGCTTAACAACCACTCTTTGCTCCCAGTGGTACCTCTACTGAGGTCAAATGGTGATTACCCAGTCATGCTCAATCTAGACCTGCACAGTGGTTTCAGAAAAACCATCTGTGCCAGAAAGGGATGCTTTCTGAACTCACATCCCCCAGGAGAGACGCACAGACATTAAAGATTTAACACTTTTGCTGAAACCGGTTTGACTTAGTGGTAGAGCGTCGGTCTGCAGACTGAAAGGTCCCGAGTTCGATTCCGGTCAAGGGCATGTACATTGGTTGCGGGCACATCCCCCGTGGGGGGTGTGCAGGAGGCAGATGGTCGATGTTTCTCTCTCATCGACGTTTCTGGCTCTCTATCTCCCTCCCTTCCTCTCTGTAAAAAATCAATAAAATATATTTTAAAGATTTAACACTTTTATTTTTAGTCAGTCATTTCATTTGCTTAAGAGAACTAATTAGAACTTATATGTCAAAAACAACATTAACTTCTCCTTTCTCTTTTTGTAGTCAAGCTCTTGTTTTTACAGTAAAGAGCCATTTCTTAAATGGTTGGCTTGCTTACCTCACCTTGAAAACAAAACGAGAACCGCCAATCCAACTGTAGTAACATTCCTGGTTGACCAAGAGCATAATTCTGGAATCTATCTCTTACATAACAAGGTAGGCCTTCAGCCCGAAAGTAATTGATCTTGATGCTACAACCATGAAAATTTAACTAAGCAAAACTATTTCTGAGTTCTTGCTATCATTGGCAATAGAAATTGATAAAATTAGCTACAGCAAAATGATTTATGGCTGATAATATAGATTAGGACACTTTAGAGATTTCTTTCCTCTGCCCTTCAGTTTGATGAAAATGGAAAATACGATACTACTTGCGTAATGATTCTTTGTTGATTATTCTCTGAGACTATAAACTGAGTTAGGTCTATAGAAATGTAATATTTCATAAAAGTGGTTAGTTTAGATTAACAAATAATGGAACTAAGTTGCCATGGATCTATATTTCCTACTGGAGGCTCGTTGCAGAAAGATTCCTACAATAGGGCTCCCTGCTGCAGTCACTGACCCGCCTGCTTCCCTCCCTTCTCCCCCTCCTCACCTGCTTCTTCCCTTCTCCCTCGACCCATCTGCTTGCCTCCCTTCTCCCCAGCCCAGTTTCCTTGCTTCTCTGTAGCTTCGCTCCTTTCTGCAGCCGTGGCTTCTTTCTACACTGTCTTCAGTCTTTGCTTTGGTCTGGATATGCAAATTAACTGCCATCTTGGTTGGGTTAATTTACATACCCGCCCTGATTGGCTGGTGGGCATGGCTTGTGGGCATAGAGAAGGTATGGTCAGTTTGCATGTTTCTCTTTTATTAGGTAGGATTCCAAAGAGTCTTAACCCTAACTGAATTGGAGCCATTAAAAACATATATAAGCCCTAGTTGGTTAGGCTTAGTGGATAGAGCATTGGTCTGCTGACTGAAGGTCCTAGGTTCGATTCTGGTCAACGGCACATTCCCAGGTTGTAGGCTTGATCCCCCATTGGGAGCAAGCAGGAGGCAGCCAATCAATGATTCTCTCTCATCATTGATGTTTCTATCTCTCTCTCCTCCTCCCTTCCTCTCTGAAGTTAACAAAATTCTATTTTTTTTTTTAAAGTGTATAAGATCAGCCCTTCCCTTTGATTTTTAGGGAAAAAAGTAATTTTGTCTACCATCTTAGGTTCAGAAACCAGGGATTCTTTAAAGTAACTGACAAAAGACAGAGTAAAAGAAGAAAACTATGTGTGTAGTGCATCTATAGGCAGGTACAAATCAGTGATGAGTAACTCAAAAAGGTGGTTAAAATTGTGGGGTTATATACCATCTTAATAGATTAAAGGGGGTGATAAAGGCACTTAAGGAAAAAAATGAAAAGATAATGGCTTTTCAGGAGATACTAAAGTGGATTTATATAGGTGTGAGTGGTCTTTCTGTCTTCTTCAGCTTATACATCTTCCATGAAGGAAGGAACTGGAGTAGGTTTTATTCATATTCTCCCTCTGGGAGTACATCTGCCCTGAAGAAGAATTGGTGGTGATCTTATTTCTCAAAGTTGCTGCTTTTCGTCAGATAAGAGAAAGCCTTCCCCCCCCCCCCACCCCTGCATCTGTTGAATCTCAGATATCTTCCGCTTAAAATAATCTTCATAACAAAGTGGCATATGTTGGGTTGCATATTCTGATCCCCTTCAAGATCATGATACAGTAGAATTGGACTAGAGGCCCAGGGCCCACAGTTTTAAAACATAGTTTAAAGTGATAGTTATGAGCCTAGGCATTGGAGTCTTTCTGCTGAGTTCAGTCATTCTGCCATTTATTACAGGTCCTTGGACAAATTATTTAATCTTCTAAACTTCATGTTCAACAGCTATTAAATGGATCTATATTGGGGAAAGCAGAGTAAAGAGATGTCAGGGGTTGCTAATCCTTCCAGTTCTAGACTTTGTTAATTGGTCCCTATCTTAATCAGCATCTGAGTAGCAGGAAACTCTAAAAATTGTAACATAGATTAGTATTACTAACGGAAAGTTTCTTATGATTGATCATGCTTTATTTCTAGAAAGAGACAACTGCCTCTGTACACATCCTAGAAAATAAAAAACCAAGAGTAAGACGAAAATTTCCACTTTTCACCTTTCCTTCATCATTCTCTTCTCCTGTTGGGATGAAATTCCATCCACGGAGCCATTTTCTGTATGCCTACGGCAATCAGGTGCGTACACATGACATTTCACTTTATGTGGGTATGAATCATGCTGAGTGGTTATACATCAAGTAAAAAACTATCACTGGTGATCAGGGAGGTGGAAAGTCCAATGAAGAGTGATCGAGAGAAGCCCTGGCCAGTTTTTCTCAGTGTTTAGAATGTCGGCCCTCGGACTGAAGGGTCTCAGGTTCAATTCTGGTCAGAGGTACTTGCCTCACTTGCAGGTCCCACAAGGATCCTGGGGAGGCAACCAACTCATGGTGTGTCTCTCACATTGATGTTTCTCTCTGTCTCTATGCCTCCCTTCCACTCTCTATAAAAATCAATGGGAAAATGTCCTTGGGAAGGATTAACAACAACAACAACAACAACAACAAAAATGCATACCAAGAGGAGAAGAATTCGAGACATAAAATTCAAACAACTCTTTTTAACATTTTTCTGAAAAGTGGATCAGTAAAATAAGACAATGTTTGAAGGAGGAAAGGTCTTTTTTTAACGATTGGAGAAATTATGTTGTGTGATGATGGAAATTATTCAATAGGAGAGGGAAATTGATAATAGAGGAAAGAGAGGGGAGAAATTTCTGGAGTGATGGATATTTCTAAATAGGTGAGAGAAGAGGTGATCTATGCACTAGTAGAGAAGTTGGCCTTCAGCGGAGAATTATCCTACAGCGACAGAGGGGAGGAAGAGTTTATGGGGTTTAAAAGCAGTAGGTGTATAGATGTGATAATGGAAGCATGTGGGAATCATTTTATCAATAAAAAAATCAAAGCCATTATTTGAGAGTGAGGAGGGAGGAAGAATATTGGGGGTTTGAGGAAAGAGAGAACAGAGTAGAATGGTTGCCTAGGAAGATGGGAGGATGAACTAAGGGAATACAGTTTTTATGCTCATGATTTAAAGTGTGACCAGGGAAGCATTACTGAATGTTCTTCTCCATGTTCAATTGTGGGGTATACACATAGTACAGAAGACAGAGGGTTATATATAACTAATGTTGGAGTTCTATTAAGAAATTATTTATAAGAAGTAAAAGAGTGGAGAAAATAAAAATCAAAAAATCAATTAAAAAAAAGTAAAAGAGTGTACATATGGGAATGCAATAAAACAAAGAAAAAAATAAGTCTTAAAAATTAAAAAGTAGAAAATAAACTCTAAAAGATATGATGGAAGAGTAAATTACCACAACTTTTTAGGAAAGCAATTTGGCATTATTATCATCCTGTAAATTTTAATATTGTCTATTCTGTGACCTGCCAATGTCATTTTTGGGGCAAGGAAAAATATATATATAGGGGAAACATTTAAAATTTCCATCATAGCACTGTTAACAATAGCATTGGATAACTAAATATAATCCAGATGCCCATGATCAGCAGAATGGATAAATTACATTTTATTCACATAATTCATTAAAAGAAAATTAACTGAACCATATCAAATTATATTGGGGAAAGGGAATAAGTTTTAGAAGACTATATATATATATATATATATATATATATATAATTCCTTTGAATCAAAAAAGAAAGAGTATAAATAGCAAAAGTAAAATCAAGCAATACATTAAATATACCTATGTACTAAAACAAAAAATAGCAAGGGAATAAAAAAACACATATTTCAGGACATTGAATATTTTTGTGGAAAGAGGTAGAGTAATAGGATTGGTAAGAAATATAGGAAAAGATAATTAGCAATAAGCTAATTCTTGGGTTAGGCTGTCAGTTCACACATGTTCACCATAATAAGTAACATAAGAAAAATAAAAGTGAACATAAATAGAGTAATAATTTAAAACATTTAGAACAATGCTATGAGATACCATTGCTTTCACTCAAGTAATCAGTAACAATTAAAAATAAACTTTTGATAAAATCAAGTATTGATGAGGTTTGGAGATATGGATACTTGCATACATTATTTATCTATATATATAAAAGCCTAAGTGACCATTATGACTGGTCGACCATTATTCGGTCAACCAATTGCTATAATGCACACCAACCACCAGGAGCTCAACACTCAGTTCAGGAGTTGCTCACTGGTAATCAGTGCACTCCCACAGCCAACGTCCCACCAGCTGGCCAACCTCCCGCAATCCCTCCCCATGGCCCAGTCAGCCAGCCCCATTCAGCCCCAATTGCATCTAGTAAGACTATATAATCTGGTCTTGGCAAAAATTCAAGAACAGTCTTGCAGTGTCTATTAAAATTATAGACATACTACTACTGGAGGCCCAGTGCATGGATTCATGCACTGGTGGGGTTCCTTGGCTTGGCCAGTGGGGATCAGGCCAAAACTGGCTCTCTGACGTCCCCCGAGGGGTTCCAGATTGCAAGAGGGCAGTTCTCAAGTGACACACCCTAGAACTGAACTCCCTCCTCTCTGGTTCCAGGTGTGTCACCCGAGAACCACCACTGCCAAGTGACCACATCTCAGCAGCTCCTGAGTTGAATGTCTGCCCTTGGTGGTCAGTGCACATCATAGCTACTGGCTGATCGGCCAGTTGCTTAGACTTTTACATATATGGATATAGACATAGATGCATAGCCTCGGACTCAGCAACTTGGTTTTTCAGTACCTGCTCTAGAGATACAGTAACATTAGTAAAATGAGCAGGCAGAAAGGTCATTGTCGTATTATTTATGACAGTGAACATTTTTATGCAACCTTTAAACTCTCATTCATAGGAAAATAGAGTATCTCAAGTATAATATATCCATAATATATCCATAATTATTGATACTATGCATCAGTACAAAAGAATGTGAAGATCTACATGAGCTAACAAAATGAACTGAAATATATTGAGTGGAAAGTGTAACTTACAGCCCAACCGGTACAGGAGGATGCCATTTTGAACCTTTAGTTCAGAGCTTCTTCCTCTTCCCACCACACCTCCCCACCCATTACTATGCTCACCGATAACATTTGCATAATCCAAAACAAGAGTGAAAATGGAGGCTCCAATATCCTATGTTTGGTTCATGGATTGGGCTATGCCAGCAATGAGTGCTACACCTCTGAGTGATGGAAGCACCCACGTGCTATTTAATAAACTTTCTCTGTGGTGTTTGAAATATGTAGACACACTAAGTATGCAGTCCAGGACAAGGGTTCCTCTTGCCCAAGTATAAAGGTGGTGCCACACTCAGATACATGCTTCCTCCCCTCCTCATCATACAGTGAACTGTTGTTGTTGTTGTTGTTGTTGGTGGTGGTGGTGGTGGTGGTGGTGGTGGTGGAGTGTGATTGTGTGAGAATGTGTAGAAATTTCAAATTGATAACAATAGTTATCTCTGGGAAGGAATAGAGGAGACCATAAATTATATCAGATGGCGTATAAAAAATTATTAAATGGTAGTCAAAGAGACTTCAGATATATTATAATGTTTTAAATATAAGAAAAGCCTATTTTCAGATATAACTTACCACTAAAATTAATTTTAAGAAGAAATTAAAAACCAGAAATACTTATTTGAATAACACATAGGCCATTAAAAAAAGTACCAAGTAAGACTCATCCAACCTATGATCTGATTTATCTTTTAACAGCCCTTAACAAATGATGGGGAACAGAAACTTACATGCTACGTATGGTGGAGTATATTTGAGGATTTACTAAGGTCCCATGACACACTTTTACAAATGTCAAGGGCTCTTCCTCACCAAACATGTTTGCGTACATATTTGCCAGGTACCTGGAACGTGAAGTCTCATGTCAATATGGGGTCAACTCTTCCCCCACTATCGAAATACACCAGCACTTCATCCTTTTATAAACAAATAGATCCCACTTGGGAGATGATGGGAGTAACTTCATTCTTTTATGCCTTCACCATGCATACTGTGCAGACCTGAGCCCACCACATACACTGTCATACAAACTCTAAGAAGGACACACAGAGTAGTAGACCGAATAAGAAAGAGTCCGTATGTGTCAGAGGGAGGAAAAGGGGGGGGGGGCCTAGATTGATGTGGGAATATGGACAAGACCACTTAGGAGAGTAGGCTGATAAGTAATTGCCTACTGTCACAAGGCAGCTCTTTAATGAGATGTTATCTTTTTATTCCCTTAGATATGGCTTTCAATAGATGGTGCCAACACGTTTGATCTGTTAGCGGACTTTCACGATGATGTCATAAAGAATGCTTACCACAGTTTCTATAATTCCGAGATCACCTTTGTTTCCCAACGTGGAAAGGTTTACTTGACGAAAGCAGGTGGGGAATTCACTTTTACTGGTGTCAGCGCTCTATGTGAATCAGGAATTCAAAGACACATGAAAAAAAATTGGCTATCTTAACAAATCTTAAAGTCTAAAACTTATTAAGAGTGATAGATTTTTTTAAAAAAAAATTTAACTGTGGTAAAATACTCATAAAATTTACCATCTCAGTCATTTTTAATTATACAGCTCAGTCACATTAAATACACTCAAAATGTTCCGTAATCATCACTGCCATCCATAGTCAGAATTCTTTCTATCTTGTAAAACTGAAACTATACCCTTTAAATGCTTAATTCCCCCGTCCCCACAGTCCCTGGCAACCACCATTCTACTTTCTATCTGTATGATTTTGACTTTCTAAGTCTCTCATATAAATGGAATCATAGTATTTGTCCTTTTGTGAGTGGAGTATTTCATTCAGCATAATGTCATCAAGATTCATCCATGTTGTAGCATTCCTCAATACTGCATCCCTTTGCATGGCTGAATAATGTTTCATTGTAGGGATAATGCATAATTGTTGAGCCATTTATTAGGATATTTGCATAATTTGTTGAGCCATTTATTAGGATATTTGGGTTGGTGGACATTTGATGTTTTTCCATGTTTTGTTCTTATGAATAATGTCATTATGAACATTTATGTACAAGTTTTTATGTAGCAATATGCTTTCATATACTCAGAAGTATATACCCAAGAATCTAATTGCTATGTCCTATGTTAACTCTTTGCTTAACATGTTGAGGAATTGCCAAACTGAAGCTGTCCCATTTTACAATCCTACATGCAATGTGTGAGGATCATTTCTTACATCCTCACCAACAGTTTTTTTTTTAGTGTAGTAACTCTAGTGGGTGAGGAATTGTATCTCGTATTTTTGACTTTTATTTGCTGAATGGCTAATGATGTTAAGCATTTTTCCATGTGTTTATTGACCATTTGTAGAAATGTCTTCAAATTCTTTGCTCATTTAAAAATTGGGTTAATTGTCTTTATTGTTGAGTTGTGAGAGGACTTTATATATTCAGTTCAAGTCTCTTACTAAATATCTGATTTGCATGTATTTTCTTTCATTTTGTGGGTAATTTTTTTCACTTTTGTGATGGTGCTTTTTGAGGTACAAACTATTCTGACTTCCAATCCCGTAGTTTTGCCTGGTTTTGAGCATGTTTAATTTTGATGGTTTAATTTTTTCATTTTTTCTTTTGTTTTTTTATGGCTTGGGGGTCATATCTAAGAAACCATTGCCTAATAGAATGTCTTGTTTTCTTCAAAGAGGAGTCATAAGATGATGAAGCTACCAATTGCATAAAAGTAATGCTGAAATTCAGTAACATAAAAGGCAAGGGAGATTACCTTCAGAAACAGAGTCTCCCCGGTAATGCTCAAGTAGCACTTTCATAGAGTATTGATTACGTTTGGAGATTGGGGTAAACTTGGAGATGCTTGATAAGGTCTAACCAGAATGTTCCCAAGACAAGCATGAGACTGGTTTCTTTTGGTTTGTTTTTGATATTGTCACCATTCTTGACTGTCCAGCTTAAAACCAATTTTTTTCTGGTCTTGAAAGCCTCTGATAGAATTTTAAACAACGAGCTCTCTAAAGGTTTCTGGTCTGACTTCAAAAGCCTGGTTTCTTGGACCTCAGTATTGTGTCCTTGGGGTTCACTGCCAGAATCGGTGCTATCACCATAAAATCTCTGTTGGTCCGTCCTAATTCAAGGATAAGGAAAGACTACAAAGTTCTGATTCTGTTTCCCCACATCTTCACCACTGTGTTTACTTATTCTCGATACGTCAATAAAACTTTTGCTCAATTTATGCTGGTGTCAAGATTACCTTTGTGGTTTATTTGTCTGAATCATTTGTTGAGACAGCATTAGTGTGTTGGCATACAAGAATCTGACCAACGGCCATCATATGATTATGAGATAAACAAAAATGACTCTGAGTATCATTAGGAGGGGTTGGGAAGAGAACGAGACATGGACCATTTCCCGTCCCTCCAGCCACTCTCCTTTCAGTGTGTCTCTAAGACTCGCCAGTATTCTGACTTCCAATCCCGTAGTTTTGCCTGGTTTTGAGCTTCATATAAACAGAATTATGCGGTATATACTCTTTTGTGTCTGACTTTCCTAGGTTGACATTGCGACTCTGCAATTCCTTCATATTGTCGCACATAGTACTGCTTTGTAGTCTTCCATTGTCTGAATATGCTATCATGTATTTATCCATTCCACTGCCTGTGGATGGGTATTTGAATCATTTCCATTTGGGTCTATTATAAAAAATAAAAAAAAAGTAAATCTGAACATTTTTGCAAAAGACTTTTGCTGGACCAAGTTTTCCTTTGTTTGATATATACCTGGAATAGAATGGCTGCCATCACCAGTAGAAGTTTGATTAGCTTTTGCTGAAGGAAAATGAAGTGCTATCAACACTTTTCCAGAGTGAGTGTACCAATTTCCTGTCCTATCAGCAATGGTAAGGCATCCCAGTTACTCATTCCTCTCACCAGCTCATAGGATTATTAGTCTTTTCAATACTGAGCTGTTGTGGAGACTCTGCAATGTTATCTTGGTGAAAATTTAGTTTGCATGATTAATAACGTTGAGCACATTTTCATATGTTCATTGGCCAATTTTTGTTTACTTATTTATTTTTTGGTGAATTATGTCTTCATGTCCTTTTAAACCGAGTTTTGATTGGATTGAATTGACTTTTTCTTATTGACTTCTATGAGTTTTTAATGTATTATGGATCTGAGTCCTTTTTTGCAAACATCTCTTCCCAACCACTTTCTTGTCTTTTTTTACTCTCCTCATTCTATCTTTTGATGAGCAAAATTATTAATTTTTAAAAGTTAAATTTATGAATATTTTCTTTTATGATTAGTGCTTCTTGCTTCTTGTATCCTGTTAAGTAATTTTTGCCTGTACCAAAGTTAATATTGTTTCTAATTTCTTATATAGGTCAATAGCTGTGTGTGTGGTATGAGATAGGCTTATTTTTCCCCATAAAACTCTCAAGGTGTCTACTCTGGCCTTCAGTTGAATATTCAAGGTCATAAGCTTTTTCTTTTCTTTTTTTCTTTTGGAGGCTCTCCAATATATCCATAAAATTTATACCACCCCCACAATCTTTGTAAAAACCATGATTGTCATTGCAATCAAGAACACCACTCCTTGTCCCCTAAAGTCTTGCCCTCCACAAGCACCCTAACCATTCTACGACCAGTAATCATTTAAGTAATTGTGATGCCCTTGCTTGCTGAGAATGGCAAGTGTCACAATACCTTTACATTCCTTAGATGTGTGAGCTACTCAGTCCCAGAATCCCACCTTGATATTCTATTTTCTAGGGACATTTCTAATTTTACAAAATACTGTATCCACCCTAACTGGTATGGCTTAGTGGATAAAGTGTCGGCTTGCGGAGTGAAGGGTCCCAGGTTTGATTCCAGTCAAAGGCATGCACCTTGGTTGCGGGCACATCCCCAGTGGGGGGGGGGGGGGTGCAGGAAGCAGTTGATTGATGTTTCTCTCTCATCGATGTTTCTGATTCTCTATCCCTCTCCCTTCTTCTCTGTAAAAAATTAATAAAACATGTTTTTTTAAAATATTGTATCAGTTGTAATCCTGGCTGGAAACATAATTCCACTCAAGTGTTTCACCTGAAGAGCAGTAGATATAGTTAAAGAAATAGCAAAATATCCCAACACTAGCAATGGAAAGAAGTCATTACAGTCCCTTTGATTAAAGGGGTAATGCAAATAAATAGATTATAGATAGATAGATAGATAGATAGACAGACAAAGTCCCTCTCCTTCCCTTGTTTGTATCTCCTGCTAGTGCCTTTCATTGGTCAAATCCACCCAGAAGCCAGCTAGAGACAGAGCACAGCATTGCAATTCATAGGGGTTAGCCTTCCAATGCACTGGGCAAGAAAGAGAAAGCCCAAGAATGGGTCTGAAGAAATAGGAAGATAGATAATAAGCAGCACATGCTGTGAAATAAAAATCAAAATAGACTAAGCAAGATGACTTTGAGAACAGTAAAAATAATTAACAGCTAAGAAAACTAAACTAAATTGGCAACATGGATCCTAAACTCTTATAAATTATAGACACAAGCTATAAAAACATGTCCATGTGCAGAATGAAAAATCAGTAAGTGGAAAGAATCTGAAATGACAAATATAGGTGCTAGAGATTGAAAAACTGCCAGTTGCAGGAATTTCCAGGGATGCATACAGAGGGTGGCTCTGTGGGGAATTCAGCCCTTTTGCTTCCTACATTGATAAATGAATGAAGACTGAAAATAAGAATAAAGAAAATCAAAATTGATCATAAAACATTACTTTTTAAAACTAAAAGCAAAACCAATAATAAAAGCAAAAACACTTCTTAATTATTTGAAATAGAAAATGTAAATCAATTTTAAAGCCGCCAAAAAATCAAGCCAGCCTTGTATTTTCTGCTGCAACAATGAATATCCCATGTTCATCTAAAAAACCTCAGAGAAAAATAATATTACCTAAGAATTTAGAGCCACCTACACTAGTTTATTTACATGCAAAGCCAATAAAAGAACGTTATAAACATCATAGTTCATCAAATCTGAGGTTCACTGATGGTAAGATGCACCCTTAAAACAAAAACTGCAAAACTTTTTCAATTAAATGGTAACACAGTGGGTTTTCCCCCCATTTTTTATTAAGGTATTATATGTGTACATATCTTACCATTGCCCCCCACCCATCCCTCTCCCATACCTGCCCTCACTCCCCAGACTTTTGCCTCCATTGGTTATGCTTATATGCATGCATACAGGTCCTTCGGTTGATCTCTTATCTACCCCAGATCTCCCTCCCCTCCCCGCTGTAATTTGACAGTCTGTTTGTTGCTTTACTCTCTCTGTATCTATCTTTTTGTTCATCAGTTTATAATGTTCTTTATTATCCATAAATGAGTGAGGTCATGTGGTGTTTCTCTTTCATTGACTGGCTTATTTCACTCAGCATGATGTTCTCCAATTCCATCCAGGTTGCTGCAAATGATAAGAACTCCTTCTTTTTATGGCAGTGTAGTATTCCATTGTGTAGATGTACCATAGTTTCCTAACCCAATCATCTGCTGACGGGCACCTAGGCTGTTTCTAAATCTTAGCTATTGTAGATTGTGCTGCTATGAACATAGGGGTGCAAATATCCTTTCTGATTGGTGTTTCTAGTTTCTTGGGATATATTCCTAGGAGTGGGATTACTGGGTCAAATGGGAGTTCCATTTTCAGTTTTTCGAGGAAGCTCCACACTGTTCTCCACAGTGGTTGCACCAGTCTGCATTCCCACCAGCAGTGCACGAGGGTTCCTTTTTCTCTGCAACCTCGCCAACCCTTGTCGTTTGCTGATTTGTTGATGATAGCCATCTGACAGGTGTGAGATGGTACCGCATCATCGTTTTGATTTGCATCTCTCGGATAATTAGTGACTTTGAGCATGTTTTCATGTGTCTCTTGGCCTTCCTTCTGTCTTCTTTTGAAAAGTGTCTATTTGGTCCATTGCCCATTTTTTTTATTGGATCATTTATCTTTCTTTTATTAAGTTGTATAAACTGTCTGTAGATGTTGGAGATTAAATCTTTATCAGTGACAACATTTGCAAATATGTTCTCCCATGCAGTGAGCTTTCTTGTTGTTTTATTGATGGTTTCTTTTGCTGTAAAAAAGCTTTTGATTTTGATGTAGTCCCATTTGTTTATTTTCTCTTTAGCTTTTATTGTCCTAGGGGCAGTATCAGTGAAGAAGTTCTTTCGGCATATGTCTGAGGTTTTGCTGCCTGTGGATGCCTCTAGTATTTTTATGGTTTCCCATCTTACATTTAAGTCCTGTATCCATTTTGAGGGTTTTTTTTTTTTTTTTTTGTGTGTGTGTGTGTGTGTATGGTGTAAGTTGGTGGTCTAGTTTCATTTTTTTTTTGCATGAATCTGTCCAATTTTCCCAACACCATTTATTGAAGAGACTGTCTTGGCTCCATTGTATGTTCATGCCTCCTTTGTCAAATATTAATTGAGCATAGTGGTTTGGGTCGGATCCTAGGTGATGCATCAATTATTACTATGACATTATTTCCCCTGCCTATAGTTGCATTGCTTGGTGTATAAGAAGGCAAATTTTGCATGTCATTTCAGAATTAAAACCTAATGCAATTTCACCTGCTTGTGAGTTTCCTCCTTTCTGAGGTCCCGTAAAATACTTGGTGGTGGTTCTACAAGAAAATGTGGAGTTGTGGTCACTCTTCCAGTCACATTTGGTTTCATTGGTAAATACATGCTCTGCTTTGTTTTCCTCTCAGTAACACACCCACAATAACTGTTTCAATGTCAAATTACAATGTAATATTTTTAAAGCATTTTTAAATGGCAATAACATTCAACATGCATTACACCAGTGATTCTGAGAAACTCAAAGTGATGACAATGTAAAGGAAGAGCAGAGACAAAGTATCGATACATGCATGTGTAGCCAATTGACCACTATGGCATGAGTGCCCCCTGCTGGACAATGATTGTAAGACACATCAATGATTCAATTTACAAGATGTTACAATGTGAATATATATATATATATATATATATATATATATATATATATATATATATATATATATAGCTTGTGTTTATAGATTAAATATGGCATTAGCAATTGTAGAGGTTAATTTTATGTGTCAACTTGACAGGGCCAAGAGGTGCCCAGATTAAACACTATTTCTGGGTATGTCTCAGGGTGTTTCCGGATGAGATGAGCATTTGGATTGGTGGACTCAGTAACTCCTCCTTAACCCCACCACCACCACCTCCCTGGAGTGTGGGTAGGCATCATCCAGTCCTTTGAGAGCCAGAGTAGAACCACAAGGTGAAGGAAATCACCTTTTTGCTTCCTGCCTGTCTGCTTGACAGGATGCTGGTCTCCTGCCCTTGGACAGGGACTTGCCTCAGTCGCCCCTGTTCTCTGGCCATCGGCTCCCCTAGTGCTCGGGCCGCTGGCTCGCTAGCTTGCAGATGGCAGATTGTAGGGCTTCTCGGCCTCCATAACTGCACGAACTAAATCCTCACAATCTCTTCCTTCCTATATCGTATTGGCTTGTCCAGGGTGATGGTGGTGAAGGTAGAGAGAAGTGGTTGGGTTCTCTGTATATTGTGAGACTAAAGTCACCAGCAACGGCTGATGGATGAGATATAGGGTGTGAGAGGAGTTAAGAACAACACCAAGGTTTTCGGACGGAGCAACAGGAATACTACAGTTGCCATAAATGGAGATGCAGAAGCCTAAGGATGAAGGAGGGCTGCACAGGATGGGGAGTTCAGTTTGGGATGAGTCCAGTCTGAGATGCCTGACTGACCTGGGTCTGGAGCTGTCAGCAGACAGTTCAATATAAATCTGTTGTTCAGGGAGGAGAACGACATGGGAGTTTTAAATTTGGGAGTCATACACATAAAGATGGCTTTTACACCCTAAAACTGGATGAGACCTCCAGAGACAATGAGAGACGAGATATAAGATCTGAGAGCTGGGGCACTCCAGTGTTCAGGGGTCAACGACAGAAGGGCAGGTTTCTCAGAACAGCCTGGCCCAGCTTGGGACGTGTGTGTGTGTGTGTGTGTGTGTGTGTGTGTGTGTGTGTGTGTAAACCAGTCTTGTTCATCCTGAGACTCCAGCTTTCCCTCTGGCTCCATCCTCCATCCTCCATCCTCCATCTTCCATCCTCCATCCTCCATCCTCCATCCTCCAGCCTCCATCCTCCATCCTCGATCCAGGGGACTCTCTTCTGTGTGGGCCTGTGTCAGTCTGCCCACGGGAGTGCTGCTCCTCTACCAGAGAACTCCCAGTACCTCTCAGCGTGTTGCCTTGAGGCATGAGAGGAACACAGGATACCACATTTGAAATATAGTTTATGATCCAGTGTTCTTGACTATAACTCCCCTTGCCTGCCTGAGGGTTCTTTTCTCATTGCATCCTACCTATTCAGGAATCTGACATCCTGATATTAGGAGGAGACACCACTGTTAAGGGGAAGGTCCCCTCTTTTGTGCTAGACACCTTTAACATCAGCCCACCTGTCTGTCCTTCACCTACTTCAACACATGGGTTCTGTAACAAAATGGAGCCTGGAAAAGACTTCTGAGGGACTTAACAAAAACTGGCATGTATTTTACTAATTCTGGGGTCCTGGAGCCCTAGCCCCACCCCTTATTTAAATGAAGGAGATTTTATAAAGGACACTATTAAAAGTTCTCTAGTTATATTAGGTCAATATCAAGAGACCTTTGTGTTGTTGTTGTTTTTTTCCCTAACAGGATTACTAAGATATAGTGAAATTGGATCAATTACTGATAAAATTTTCACATTATACTATGACCACATGGGATTCATACATAAACTGACTCCGGGTCGTTTTGAAGCTAATGACAATTCTAACAGTATTTTTGGAAAGGTCAGTGATATATTACATTGAAGCAGTTGGCCATGTTTTAAGAACAAATGTCACATTTTATGTACAGAATGGGAAAGTAAATTCTTTGGGACAAACTCCTGTGAATGCACCTTACTATCCTTTCTAATAAAAGAGCGATATGCAAATTGACCATCATTTCAACACACAAGATGGCTGCCCCCATGTGGTCAAAGATGGCCGCCATAAGATGGCCAGCAGGGGAAGGCAGTTGGGAGGGACCAGGCCTGCAAGGAAGGGCAGTTGGAGGCAATCAAGCCTGCAGGGGAGGGAAGTTAGGGGTGACCAGACCTGTAGGAGAGGGCAGTTCGGGCAGTCAGGTTGGCAGGGAAACAGTTAAGCATCAATCAAGCTGGCAGGGAAGTGATTAGGGGGTGATCAGGCTGGCAGGCAGAAGCAGTTAGGGGCAATCAGAAAGGTAGGCAGGCGAGCAGCTGGGAGCCAGCAGTCCTGGATTGTGAGAGGGATGTCCAACTGCCTATTTAGATCTGATCCCACCAGCATCGGGCCTTAATAGGCAGCCAGACATCCCTCAAGGGATCCCAGATTGGAGAGTGCAGGCTGGACTGCAGGACATCCCCCTCACACCCCCCCTCCCTCGCACGAATTTCATGCACCGGGCCTCTAGTATGTAACTAAAGGGAAACACCTCCATACACCAGAGCACATCTCCCAAGTCCTATTCAGGGTTACGTAGATTTAACTCTATCCTGGGCAGCCACACCCAATTTCTTCACAGCAAAGCACCACCAGCTAGTCTAAGCCAGACCCATTGCTGCCCCCCAGGTTCCCAGTGGATGCTCTTCCTCCCAAGGCTGGCTTTAAGCAGACCTGAGTGCAGTTTTTCCTACTGGTTTGCCCTTCTCTGTATGAACCCCACCTCCTCACCTTTTCTTTCTCTAACGCTAACACAGGAAGGAGTTGTTATCTTTTTCACAGATGGAACTACATGCAGACTTCTCTAATAATGTCAGTGGATAATGTGCCCCTTGTGAAGGTACACATGCCAAAGAACACATAGACAGGCATGGAAAGGAGCTCTCCTCATGGGCACATGGGCAAAGAAACAGATTTTTTAAATTTTTATTTATTTTTATTTTTTTGCCTGGGGTGTAATAAAACCTGCCTAAAAGAAAGAAAATAAAGGATGGGATAGAGCAGTGGTCGGCAAACTCATTAATCAACAGAGGGCAAATTGCAGTTTGCTGACCACTGGGATAGGGCATTCCAAATCTCCGGGCCAAGAAGGCTGTTGAAAAGATGGTGCTTTAGTCTGCACCCACATGGATGGACCTAGAGGCTATCGTGCTGAGTGAAATAAGCCCTACACAGCAAAACAAAGGCCGCATGCTTTCACTTAGATGTGGAATCTAAGAAAACAATATAAACCTACAGACAGAACAGAAATAGACTCACAGATACATGAGAACATTTTGGCAGTTGCTCGTGGGAGAGGGGCTGGGGAAGGGTGAAAAAGGTGAAGGGATTAAGAAGTACAAATTGGTAGTTCCAGAATAGTCACAGGGACATAAAGTACAGCCTAGGGAATATAAGTCAATAATATTGTAGTGCCAAGCGGGTAGTAGATTTATCAGGTGATCACTTTATAAATTACATAAATGTCTAATCACTATGTTAGACACCTGAAACTAATACAATATTATTATGTCAGGTGTGACTGGAAAAAAAATTTATTTTAATTATTTCAAGTAGGAAAAAAAAAAAAAAAAGACAGTGTTTTGACTTCCCATCTGAGATACTGGTAGAGAGCGAGGCGGGAACCTCCTTGTGACAATAAAATGCAGGCACGTGACTCCCTGTGTACTTGCCAGTCTGTGGTCTATGCATAAATACAAATCTCACTGAGGTGAGCAGGAAGGCAGAGCTAACCAAGGAGGTGGAACTGACTCAATTTCTTTCGGCCTTCGCAGTTTATAAAAATATGTCTTCGTTCTCTTATGTAGACGTTTAAATAATAAAAACCAACCACCAATAGAAGTTTTTATTATAGTCAGGATGCGTTTAAGGAATTGGCACTCAATAGTCTCACCTCCCTCCACCCCAAACAGGCCGTGTCTGCATCCTGTCTGGGTAAAAACAATCCCCAGGCTGTATGGGGCCCCATGGCGTGCCAGCCACTGTTGTGAGCTCTTAGTGCGAATAACAACTATTTACTTTCTGATGAGGAAGTGAGGCACAGCAAAGCGAAATAATCTATCCCAAATTACGCCTACCCCTGGCTAGTGATTGGAAGCGGGCGCCTGTCCAGGCCCCTAGTGCCAGGGCCCGTGCGTTCAGGCGTCACGACGTTGCCTTTCGCTGGATTGCACACACTTTTCATGGCATGTTCTTGGCATCCCCTGGGCCAGAATGTCCTGCAGAATTCTAAAGCCTCTCAGCCTTTTCAGGGTCCTTAAGCCATCTGTTCTCAGTCCGCATCGATTCCCCTGGCATGTGCTTCCCATTCTCTCCCCTTCCCGGCAGGCTCCCAAATTCAGGAAACCAGGGAAAGGCGTAACAGGAAACCCACTCTGCACCCCCAGCCAGTCTGCCACCCCTCACACCTCACCGCAGAGCAGGAAGGTCAGCTCCCACATCCCCTGGAGGGCTGGTCTCCACCTCTCCTCTCACCCCTGAGAGTTCCCACAGGGACAGGATCAAGATCGAAGAGGGGACATTAGAAAAGAGACCCTAGAGCCATGGTTGGCAAACTGCGGCTCGAGAGCCACATGAGGCTCTTTGACCCCTTGAGTGTGGCTCTTCCACAAAATACCACGGCCTGGGCGAGTCTATTTTGAAAAAGTGGCCTTAGAAGAAGTTTAAGTTTTAAAAATTTGGCTCTCCAAAGACATTTCAATCGCCGTACTGTTGATAAATTGTTGCTCTATTGACTAATGCGTTTGCCGACCACTGGACGAGAAGGCAGAAATCGGGGCTGAAGGTGCCCATGCTGAGTGTCAGGGAAAGGCTTAGGACCCAGAAGAAGTGAGACTGGCGTGTGCCACCAGAGCTGGGGCCTCCGCTGGGGCCAGAGCCGTGCAGAGCCACTGGCGTGGGCCTGGGATCAGCAGCTTCCCCGCAAGGACAGGCACTTCCCAGCTCCTTCCCCAAATGACACTGAGCAAGAACCGAGTTTAAAACCTGCACCTCCGACTCCTCCTCCATTGTCCATGCTCCCTTCAGCTCCAGCCTCCTAAAAGAGCACTGGGCCCTAAAGGAAGCTTTGACCGCAGAATTGCTTTTCCTCCTCTGCAGGAAAAACCCCTCTTCCACCGAAGCTGGTTTGGCTCAGTGGATAGAGCGTCCGTCTGTGGACTGAAAGGTCCCAGGTTTGATTCCAGTCAAGGGCATGTACCCTGGTTGTGGGCGCATCCCCGGTGGGGGGGGTGCAGGAGGCAGCTGGTCGGTGTTTCTCTCTCATCGACGTTTCTAGCTCTCTATCTCTCTCCCTTCCTCTCTGTAAAAAAAATCAATAAAATATATTTTTAAAAGAAAAACACCTCTTCCCGGGCACACACGGCTATTCAAGCACACTGCTCCCCTGGGTTAAGCAAAGCAGCCTTGTTTGGCGGTGGGACTGGAAACAAATCTGTTGCCCACATTTGGTCATAACTGGAGTACAAAACGGTTTAAATGTACAACTTCTTCTCCTGCGCCAGGCTGCTGATATGGGCTTTGAGACTGCACTGGCCCCAGAGTTTATTACCCTGAATGAGGTTATCTTTTATGCCTACGTGCCTGCGAATGAATCCCAGGACACTGTCCACACCAAGAAATTCAGCAACATTCACCTGGGAAAAGTGATCAGCTCCAGGTAGTCCACTGACGTGCCTCCTCTCGTCTCCTTAGACTGCACCCTGGTTTTTCTAGATTCTCGATTCTGAGACTGCTTTTTGGAGTGGTTTTTCTGGGTAAAATATCTGGCCTCCCAAGGCCCAGTATATTTGTAGACTTTGCAGCTTTAACACACGTACCTGTATCAAATGTGTTGCTTGATTTGACTAAATGTATTCTTTAGCTATGGTTACCTCCTTCTGTGATTTGCCTTTTTCATGCCACATTATGCTTTTTGAGTTTTCATGAGCTTCATAAATTACTTGATATTGATAAATGCATCTATAATTGACTCTCATGAACATCCCACAATTTATTGAACTATTCTCCTATGTTGTCTGATGGTAGTTGTAAACTTTTGCTATTTATTTTTAAGCTTTTAACCTACCTAGAATTGATGTGTGTAGTGGGAAGTGGGAATCTGAATTCTCTCTCTCTCTCTTTCTCTCTCTCTCTCTCTCTCTCTCTCTCTCTCTCTCTCTCTCTCTATCTCTCTCTCGATAATCAATTGTCCTAGGGATCCCCACTGATCTACAGTGTCACCCCATGACATATCATAGTTTCATATATGCATTGGCCTGTTTCTGGCTCCTCTTTTATTTCATTACTGATTTATCTTCCCTATGTCACGCTTTTACGCATATTCTCTAACCATATAACAAGTTAATAGCACCCCCTCCTGGTTTTTCTTGGCCTTTGTTCTTGCATTTACATGCGAGATTCAGCATGTCAGGTTCATTAAGGGGAAAAAAAAACACCAAAACCCACAACTGTGAACAGAAATGACCTCTCGCAGCCATATGCTGCCCTCCATCTGCACTTAGATCTTGGGTGGATGTTCCTCGCTCTTCTCGCAGTGAGACTGGTCTACTTGGTTCTCTTAAAGTGGGAGGCCGAGACAGCGGCCGGCCCTCCTACAGGGGAGAAGGGGGTTATCATTCTACACTTCCCTCTTCTGCAGTGTTTCTTTGCCCCTGCCCCGTGGATGGGTGAGTGGCTTTGCTTCCCCACTCTCTCAGTAGCTTACAGCTTTTGCTTCCCAGGGGAGAGAGGGAGAGAGGGAAGGGGCCGGGCTTCAGCGCCAGCACCCCCCAGACACTTTACCCCACCAATGGTCACCTCTTTTGAGGCCTGGGTGCAAGAGTGTCTGATGCCCACCCCTCTGTGGCTTCGGGCTTTTGCTGTCTATGAAGAAGGTTCAGGGAAGTGGGCAATGCTTCCTGCCTGTTCCCTCCTCATCCTGGGATTCCCCGTGCTGCCTGGTCTTCAGCTGGCACCGATCTTCCCCAGGAGCCTCCAGGGAAGCCCGGGGAGGGAGCTTGCAAGCACAAACTCCCCTTATAACGGTGCCACTCCCACCCACCACCCCCAGCTACTGTTGGCATTAACTATTACTTTATATTAGTTTCAGGTGTAAGCCATAATGGTTAGATGTTTATATAACTTACAAAGCAATCCCCCCATAAATCTAGTACCCACCTGGCACCAAACATGGGTATTAATGATCGTATTGATTCTATTACCGTCTGCTGTACTTTACATCCCTGGTTCTGTTTTGTAACTACCAATTTGTACTTTTTTTTTCTCTTAAATATATTTTATTGAATTTTTTTTTGAAGGAAAGGAAGGGTATAGAGAGTTAGTAACATCAATGAGAGAGAAACAGCTGCCTCTTGCACACTCCCTACTGGGTATGTGCCCGCAACCAAGGCACATGCCCTTCACCGGAATTGAACCCGGGACCCTTGAGACACTCCATTCACTGAGCCAAACCAGTGAGGACCCAATTTGTACTTCTTAATCCCTTCATCTTTTTCACCCAGCCCCCCAGCCTCCTTCCTGCCACAACCATCAGACTGTTCTCTGTGTCTACAAGTCTGTTTCTACTTTGTTTGTTCGTTTATGTTGCTCTTTCGACTCCACGTGCAAGTTAAGTCATGTGGTGTGTGTGTTTCTCTGACTTCTGTCACTTAACGGTGCCTCGGCATTTCCTGATTCATGTGCCCGCCTTTGGCGGTTTTTAGCATTTTAGCTCACTCTGCCCTCTTGCCTTGTGGCCAGCACTGCATTTCTGCCTTCCCTGCTTCTCCAGAGGGAAGGCTGTCTGTCCCGTGTCCAGACTTTCCTTGGGGTGGCTCATTCCCCTGGATTCCTGGTTAGTTGGTTATCTTGTGGCCTTGGTTCAATGATGGGCTTACGTGTTGACTTTGTGCTTTCTCTATTTCTTCTTGTTTGGGTGTTCATCTTTCTGGATTTAAAGCAAAAGTAAAAGTCTTGTGATTGACTTTGTATATTAAAAACTTTCAAATTTGCTCAATTCTTTTAATAATTCTAGTACTATTACTATATATTCCTTTGGGTTTTCTGAGTAGAAATTTTTCTAAGTAGATAATCATATCACCTGCAAAGAACTTGTTTTGTTTATTCCTTAACACTTCTTAGCATATTGTACCTTTTTCCTGTTGCAGTGTCCAGGACCTTGTTAAATAGAAAAGGAAGATCCTGGGTGTCTTTGTCCAGTCAGCTCCACCCCCATGGCCTAAATCACATCCGAAAAGCCTCACTTTCTAACACCATCACCTTGGCGTTAGACTTTCAACCATCTTTATTAAGATGCTACATAAGCTGCAAGTTCTACCCTGTTTCCCCCAAAATAAGACAGTGACTTATATTAATTTTGCTCCCAAAGATGCGCTAGGTCTTATTTTCAGGGGATGTCTTATTTTTCCATGAAGAAGAATACGGTACACATTTATTGTTAAATGAAAATAAAGGAAATTTATTACCTGTATACGGTACGGTAGTACGGTTGTTGTCAACACAAACCAGACAAACTGTGAATCCTACAGTGTCAAGAATTTACTCATTTATTCAATGACAATCATGTCATCTTCTGGAACATCATCATAACATCCAATTCCTGAATTTCCTGGTGAATTTCTTGTGACTTCATTTCTTTCAGAATCAGTGGACCAAATCTCTCATGTTTAGCCTAGGGGGGCCTTATATTTCACTCAGAAGGGGGATGCCTTATATTTTACTCAGAAGGAAACCTGTAAGTAGGTCTTATTTTCAGAGGATGTCTTATTTTCGGGGAAACATGGTAACCACTCCTTTGAGTTAGTAATCACTGAGTTTCTCCTGTGTATGAGCATGCCACACATGTGTCTTTTGTCAGTTTGATTTGCAAGGTCCCGGCCATAGAACCTAGGAAGGTAGAGGAAAAAAGGCTCCTACAGTTTATTTTGGTTAACAGTCCTTTTGTCAGATATGTCTCTTGCAAATATTTTCTTGCAGTCTGTGGCTTGTCTAATTCTCTTGACAGTGTTGTTCATAGAGGAGAAGTTTTTAATTTTAACAAAGTACAGCTTATCAATTATTTTCTTTCATGGATTGTACCTTTGGTATTGTAGATAAAAAGTCACTGCCATACCCAAGATTATCTAGATTTTTTTCTCCCTAGGTTATCTTCTAGGATTTAATAAGTTTGAATTTTATATTTAAGTATATGGCCCATTTTGAATTAATTTTTGTAAAGAACGTAATCTGTATCTAGATTTTTTTTTTTTTTGCATGTGGGTGTCCTAGGTTAATATTTTTTAAATAGATTGTTTTTTTCTTGATTATAAAGTACATGCCCATTGTAGAAGTTTCTTAAATACAGATAAATATAAAAATGAAAATGGAAATAATAATAATAAAATGTTAACACTTTGCTGAATTACTGGTTAGTTCTTTTTTTTTTTAATATATTTTATTGAGTTTTTACAGAGAGGAAGAGAGGGGACAGAGAGTTAGAAACATCGATGAGAGAGAAACATCGACCAGCTGCCTCTTGCACACCCCCTACTGGAGATGTGCCGGCAACCAAGGTACATGCCCTTGACCGGAATCGAACCCGGGACCCTTCAGTCCGCAGGCCGACACTCTATCCACTGAGCCAAACCAGTTTCGGCTGGTTAGTTCTTTTAATATGCATTTTAACAGTCTTCACCTTGCTTCTTTCCTGTAGACATTGTAATATAACCACCTTCCATGTGTAATTAAAAACTCTGTAAATACCATGATAATAGTAGCAGTGTGTCTAAGAAGGTCATGTACCGTAGTAACATCTACTTAATTTTCTTATTGTAATTCTTATTTCTAACTTTTATCATAATTCTGTGATGGACATCTTTACGTGGAAAGATTCCACTCTCACATTCCCCCCTGCCGTGTTATTTCCGTAGGATGGAGCCTTATAAGTAGACTTATGAAATCAGAGGGAAACAAATAATGCTACCACTCTAAGTGGATATCAAATTACCAAATTACTTTCTAGGAAGTTTGCATGGATTTATAATACCATTATTAGTGGACACATGCCTTTCTCCACTCAATTCTTACCACTCCTGAACCTGACATTTAAGAGATCTTTGCTAATTTGATAGGTGAAAAATTGTGTTCCATTGCTATAATTGGCATTGTGTTAGTTAACGAGATTGAAGTACTAATCAAATGTTGCTTTGATAGCCATCTGTGTGGTATATTTTGTTTGTAAGTTATGTGTTCATAAACTTGCTCATTCACACCACAGTTTTATCCACATTCCCTAATGTGTGCTGCTTTGTTTAGGAAAACTGGACATGCTTACATAAGGAAGTTATTGCAACACAACATTCCTGAAGGGTTTTTGTCTGCAGTTATTGCAGAAGTAATCGATCCTTTTGATGTAGAAGATGTGAATGAGAGCTCCTGTTTGTCTAGTTCCCTTTCCATTAATCAAGAAGGAAAATTCTATAAACTTACTCTTCAAACACAAAGTAAGTGTGATAGTATAATATAGTTCTTATGGCTAATAAAACTTAAAAATTATCTTTTGAAAAGGCCATTCATGTTCACTTATGGAACAATATATTTCAAAATTTAGTCCAAGTATACATCTATGTAGATTTCTGAAGGAATTTTATATTTATTATGTAATGAAATCTAGCTATAACTTCATTGATATTTACATCAATAGTATCATTTATTATTTAAACCTATGATTTTTTTATTAAATAGTATTCAGGAGGAACAAAAAGAAGTGGGATGTTTGTGCAGACTTTGCCCTTCATAATAAAATAATTTTGAATAACTATTATGTAGGATGTTTCTAGTCCAAAGGATTATATGATAGATACATAGCAAAACTTAGTATAATTTTTGTAAAAATTTTGGTTTTACTCTGAGTCAATAGGAAGTCATTGGAAGAGTTTTGAACACAAAGTGACATGACTGGACTTACTTTTTAATAAGATCCACTTTGGCTTTTGTGTTGAGAATAGACTGGGCAGATGATGGAGAAAGGGCAAGAAGGAAAGCAGAGAAACCAGGAGACCATTACAATAATCAGGTGAGGGGTCATATGAAGCTTAAGAAGCCTGTTGCTCATCCAAGTGGAAAAATAAGGCAGATATTTAGAAAGACAAGGCTGGCACTCAGGTATAACATCTGGACTGGAGAGATAACTTTGAGCAGTCAGCATACGCATGATAGTTGATGTTATGAGACCAGATGAGGAAATGATGGTAGGTATAGAAAGGAAAAGGTCTGGAATTCCAACAATTAGTAGTCCAGAAGATGCAGAAGAATTAGAAAGGAGACCGGAAGATCTGCTCAGAGGAGAACTGAGTGAAGATGTTTAGATGCTCCCAATAAGTCAGGTAAGGTAAGGAAAGAAAACTGGCCAGTGGGTTCCTGTGGAAGTCATTGGTAACTCTGACAAAAGCTGTGGTTGGGTGGAGTAGTACAGGCCAAGATCTAATTGGATTAAAGTAAAAAAAAAAAACATGGGAGGAGAGAAATTGAAGACCCATGAATAAAGGAACTCAGGGAATTTCCCTATTAAGGGAAGGAGAGACCTTACCTGGCAGCTGAGGGGCGGGGGCAGGGGAGAGGATTTGTTGGTGTGTCTGATATGGGAGAAATTAGAGCATGTGTGCATAATCCAGGGAATTAAGAGTTATTATTTCAGAATAAGGTAAGTATTGTTGATATGTTTCATGACCTATTCAAAACCCTTGATAATGAAGAAAAAAAGAGAGAGAGAGAAAGAGAGAGAATATTTGATAATGATGCCCTCCCTCTCCTTGAAATAGCCTGATTTTGGCTTCTCTTGGATTCTCTCGGATGGCTTTTCTCTGATCAGTTCTTCTTCGTCTGCTTTTCGGAGTCCTCCCATTCCTTACATGATTGTGTTGCTTATATTCCCGCCCTAGAGCTTCTTCTCTTCTAAATCTCCATGCTCTCCCTAACAACCAAGTATTCATCCATTCAGCAAGTATTTATTGAGCACCTTCCATGTAATAGGCAGACCTTCAGGTACCGGGGAAACACTGACTATGTTATCCTTCTCTTATAGAATCACGGTCAGGATTCAAGGTCAAAGCTTTTGGCAGTTTTACAGTAAAGAAATCCGCTTTCTTATAATTACTTAGCCCTGCATGTTTGTTTGTCTTTTCTCTCTGCTGATAATGTTACAAAATCCATTTCACCCTTCACACTGTCTCATTTCAGAAGGTAGTGACTTTACCAGCCCGAGTGTCTCTAAAAACAAGAAGAAACAGATTCAAATCCCTAGCCAATCTGCGGTGGACATATAGCATGAGATAGAATAGATCTTCACTTTTTAAAGCTAAAAACAAATTAAAAAAATCTAAAAATCCATTTCATAATCAAGTGTAAAGTATAGGTTTGTGCTTGACGTATTCATGACACACTTTCTATAAAATAACTTGATTTATAACCTGAAATCTGGCAGATGTGTTTTATGGTGAAGACCGTAGTTTAAAAACTTGCCCTGGCCAGTTTTGCTCAGTGATTAGAGCGTCGGCCCTCAGCTGAAGGGTTGTAGGTTCCATTCCAGCCAAGGGCACGTACGTCAGTTGCAGGCTCGATCCCTGTCCAGTCAAGGTGCATGCAGGAGGTAACCAGTTGATGTGTCTCTCTCACATCGATGTTTCTTTCTGTGTGTCTCTCTCCCCTCCCTTCCACTCTCTCTAAAAATCAAGGGGAAAAATATCCTCAGATGAGAATGAACAAAACATACACACACATACACACAAAATAAAAATGCAAATAGTGTGTTCATCAGTTTTGTCTGCCAGAATACTGGAAGAACAGTGGCTGTTTTATTTCATAGCAAATCATTTCTGTTCTAGCTCCAGCTGTTGTTTCTTCATTTCAAGATTCGGATATAGAGAAGACGGTGCTGCTTCCTGGTCACAGCAGCTTCCTGATCACAAGCATTGTAGATAACAAAACTGCTCTAGCTATTGCCACCATGCCTGGAAGAGTTCCCAACGGCAAGACTTTTGTAACAGAGTCCTGGTTCTTATATGACTTTAGAGAAAGGGATGGACGAAAATGGAATATATACGCAAAACCATGTAATTATTGGTTTCAGCAACATGATGATTCACTATCCCTCAGTGTCCTGAAATACATTGATCTGGGGAAATCTCAGACCTTAGAAGTTAAGGTCATACCTAATACTAAAGGTAGGTTTATTTTTATTGGGAAACATCCAAAGGAAATGTTTTTGTTTGCCTTGAATGTGAAATATGCACTAATATTTTTCTTCTTTTTAAAAACATTTTTTAGCCAAAACTGGTTTGGCTCAGTGGATAGAGCGTCGGCCTGCAGACTAAAAGGTCCCAGGTTTGATTCCGGTCAAGGGCATGTACCTTGGTTGCGGGCACATCCTCAATAGGGGTTGTGCAAGAGGCAGCTGATCAATGTATCTTCTCTCTCATCGATGTTTCTAGCTTTCTATCCCTCTCTCTTCCTCTCTGTAAAAACTCAATAAAATATATTTTTAAAAACATTTTTATTGATTTCAGAGGTGAAGAGGGGAGGGAGAGAGCGAGTGAGAGAGAGAAACATCAATGATGAGAGAGAATCATTGATCAGCTGCCACCTGCATGCCCCTCACTAGGAATCCAGCCTGCAACCTGGGCATGTGCCCTGATGGGGAGTTGAACTGGGACTTCTAGCTCATAGGTCAATGCTCAATCACCATGCCAACGGGGATATTTTTCTTTATCTTTGGTTTCCAGAATAGCTGGCATCCTACTTATAACAGCATTAGCTTCTAATTATTGAGCACTTACTATGTGTGAGCCTCTGTATTAAATGATTTTTATATTTTTTAATTAAATGTTTATAACAACTCTAAAGGGCTAGACTATAACCCTCATTTTACAAATGAGGAAAAAGAGGTTCCATTAGCAGGCCAAGCTTACATGGGATCTTCGTTTAGATTTTTTGCTCTCCTCTGAAAAGAAAACCTTTTAGTTACCTTGGATTTTTATAATTATTTAAAGTATTTATTTAAAGCCAAATAATGGTTTTTAAATAAAATTTTAAACCTTTCCCCACTTTTTCAGTCATTTATTTATTTAAAAAAATAATAACAAGTCCTAGCTGGTTTGGCTCAGTAATAGAGCATTGGTCCTTGGACTGAAAGGTCTGAGTTTGATTCCAGTCAAGCACATGTACGTTGGTTGCGTGCTCGATCCCTCATGTAGGAGTCAACCAATTGATGTGTCTCTCTCACATCAATGTTTCTCTCTTTCTCTCCTCCTCTCTCTAAAAATTAATTCTAAAAAATAATGAAACATTAACGATGATGGAGAAATGGCATACTGGGGGGAAAAACAAAACAAAAAATTTAAGTATTAACTGAGCTAGAAAGAGAGGAAGGAAAAGAGGAAAGAAAGAGAAGAAAAGCTTGTCACCAGAAATGAAGAGGGTGACAAAAAAAATGAGCTAATGTGTGGTTTCCCAGAGGATCTGAGGGGTATAGGCTATCTAAGCAGAAGGATGGATTATAATTCCCAAATCTCAGCAGAAGATGTGGCTTCTTCCTACTTTGTGTTAGGAAATTGAAACTGAGACCGTTAAACCATAAAGAGGGGATTAGGAAAACTGTACATACCACCACTCAAAGAGGAATTAGGGAGATGATCATTTCCATGGGACTCAAAGGGGAGAAAAAAAATCTTCTGTGAAAGACCCAAACCCCAATGCTGAGCAACACCAGAGAGTACTCACCAGATGCAGGAATCTGAAGCTGAGAAATGATTATAACCCCAGAGAGCCAGCATAAACTAGCACAAAACCCTTTGCAGGATATTTTCATAACCCAAGTAATGTGGACTTAGGTTATGAAAAAATTAGCCTTCACTAAACATGAATGGAGGAAAAAAATTCAAACTATGCAAAAAAAAATGACTCGGCAGAAGAGAGGATCAATAGGCACAGGAGCCGAAACCGGTTTGACTCAGTGGATAGAGCGTTGGTCTGTGGACTGAAGTTTGATTCCGGTCACGGGCATGTACATTGGTTGTGGGGGTGTGCAGGAGGCAGCTGGTCAATGTTTCTAGCTCTCTATCCCTCACCTTTCCTCTCTATAAAAAATCAATAAAATATCTTTTTTTAAAAATAGGCATAGGAAATAGAAAAATTTAATCTCCAAGAGCTTGACATAATAGAAATATCCAAAAGACATTTAAAAAATAAGCACACATAAAACTTTTATAGAGGTAAATGAAGATATATGAACCAAAATAGAAGCTTATATGAAAAAACAGAACCAAATATAATTTATGTAAATGAAAACTATATGTTTTTTTTGGGGGGTGGGAGAGAGGAAAACATCAATTTCTATTTTCATCATACTGTGAACTAAATATCCTGAAAAACTTCTTTCTGAAACCCTTGAAATTCTTTCTCATTGATTGTAATACTAATTGTTCACATTTCATTCATTAGGGTTTCAATTTTATGGTTTTAGCTTTCCATTTCTTTAATTTGTGTAGATTTGTTTTGGCGCGTTTTTAAGTGGTTAGCTAGTTGTTCCATCATCATTTATTGAATAGTGTATCTCCACTGATTTCAAAATACAACTTTATCTTAATATATAACTTACCTATTGTTTTTACCATTTTTAGACTTTGGGATTCTGTTCATTTATTATTTCTTTATAAACTGGCCCAAATTTCACAATATTCTAATTATTTTAGGTTTAATATATACCAAATTCTTGTTAAATGGTGCAGTTTTACTTATTGAGTTTGATGGAAGCACATAGTTATCAGCAAATTAACTCAGTTGCCTTCTTGTGAAGAAAAGCCTAGTCTGTGTTATTCAAGGTATGGTCCTGGGACCAGTCGCATCTGTGTTACCTGGATCTTATGAGAAATTCAAGCCCAGCTGGTGTTGCTCAGTTTTTGAGAGTTGATTCATGAGCCAAGAGTTACAGTTTGATTCCCAGTTAGGACACATGCTCAGCTTGTGGGCTTGATCCCCAGTTAGGAGTTCTCTCTCATCATCATTGATATTTCTCTCTCTCTCTCTCTCTCTCTCTCTCTCTCTCTCTCTCTCTCTCTCTCTCTCTCCTCTTCCCCTCAAAAATCAAATAAAAATAAATTTTTTAAAAGGAAAGAAAAAAAGAAAGTAATTCAACATCTTTTGTGGTTTCACATGAGTTTTAGGATTGTTTTCCCTATTTCTGTGAAAAGCTCCATTGGAATTTTGATAGGAGTTGAATTGAACCTGTAGGCTAATATGGACATTTTAACAATATTTATTCTTGCAATCCTTAAACCCATGTAAAGATGTTCTTAGGCCCTATTTCCCCCACACTAACAAACAATGCTCCAGGCTCAAGCTGGCTCTCCTATAAATTTAACTCAGTTCTGACACTATCTTTCCAGGATGGCATCAGAGTCGATGACAGTTTTGTTCCACAGAACTGCCCCATTCAACTTCAGAATACCAGTTGCAAGCCCAAGTTGATACCTGTGCTTCAGACTGACGGGCTACAGGTTGAAGGTTCTCATGACCTCCCCCTCGGGTTCAATTACTGTGCTAGAGCAGCTCACAGAACTCAAAGAAGCATGTTACTTACTGGATCACCAGTTTATTATGAAAGGAGATGATAAAGGATGCAGGAGAACCTCCAGATGGAAGCTATGCAGAGGTCAAAGTATGGGGAAAGGGTACCAGGGTTTTTATGCCTCTGCAGGCACCCTCCTGTCCCAGTGCCTCCTTGTAGTCACCAACCTGGAAGCTCTCTGAATCCTGTCCTTTTGGGTTTTAATAGAGCTTGATTACATATGCATAATTCATTAAATCTTTGGGCATTGGATTGATCTATCTTGTGTGTTGGGGAAGGGGGTAGGAGAAGGATTGGAAATTCTAATCTGTTAATCATGTGGTTAGTTCTCCTGGTAAGTGACTCCCTTCATGAGGGAGTCATCTTATCAGCCTAATAAAATGCATTTTATGTGATTCTCCGCCCTTAGGAAATTCCAAGGGTTTTAGGAGCTCTGTGCCAGAAATGGGACCGAAGACTACATATGCACTTGCTATTATAAATCACAATACCACAGCAGGATGTCTTTCCACTTACCATGTCTTCCTCAGTATCTTTCATTGTCTTATAGTTTTTTGTGGACACATCTTTCGATTCCTTGTTTAAACTTATACCTAGGCATTTTATTCCTTTTGATGTTAGTAGCCATGGAATTGCTTTCTTAATTTCTCTTTTAGATAGTTCATTGTTAGCATATAGAAATGCAACCATCCTAGCTGGTTTGGCTCAGTGGATAGAGTGTGAGCCTGTGGACTGAAGGGTTGCAGGTTTGATTCCCATTAGGGCACATGCACAGGTTGCCGGCTCAATCCCCAGCGCGGCGGGGGGGGGGGGGGGGGGGGGGGGGGAGGCATGCAGGAGGCAGCCAATCAATGATTCTCTCTCATCATTGATTTTTCATTCTCTCCCTCTCCCTCTCTGATATCAATAAAACTATTTTTCAATGCAACTGATTTTTCTATTTTGATTTTGTATCTGAAACTTTACTGAACTTGTTTATTCTAATAGTTTTTTTGGTGAGGTCATTAGAGCTACTTGTATGTAAGATCCCGTGATCTGCAGAGGCAATTTTACTTCTTCCTTTCTGATTTGGAAGCCTTTTATTTCTTTTTCTTGCCTAATTGGCTGGATAGGAATTCCTGTTCTATGTTGAAAAGAAGTGGCAAGAGGTAGGTATCCTTATCTTGTTTCTGATCTAAAAGATAAAGCTTTAAGCTTTGAGTATGATGAATGATTATGATGACCTGCAAGTATTGTGAGAATAAACAAGTCATCTTTTCTGTCAAAGAACAGTTTAGGCAGCTGCCCTTTTGGACTGCATGACTTGGCAGCTACCATGTTGTCTGCATGACTTGCTGCTCCCCTAGGGCCGCCATCTTGAAATGGCAAAGGTCAACCTCTTCCTTTGAATTAGCCAATCATGAAAGACTGTAAACCTGAGCTCCAGTCAAGAGTAAGGGACAGGCCAAGACCGGTTTGGCTCAGTGGGTAGAGCATCTGCCTGTGGACTGAAAGGTCCCACGTTTGATTCCCATCAAAGGGCATATACCTTGGTTGCGGGCACATCCTCAGTAGGGGTTGTGCAAGAGGCAGCTGATTGGTGACTCTCTCTCATTGATGTTTCTAACTCTATCCTTCTCTCTTCCTCTCTGTAAAAAATCAATAAAATATATTTTTTTAAAAAGAGTAAGGGACAGGTCATGTGAGACAGGATCAAAAAGCTGAGTGGACCACCCACTCAGTGTGCACATGCTTTCAGACCATGTGTGCATATTCTCCTACAGGAGTAAAGATATTTGCCTTACTGCCTGGCTCCCAAGTATGCTTTGTGTTCTTCCAGGACCCCTGAATTTGGGGGCTCACCTTATTTATAACAGTATGATGTTAGCTATGGGCTTGAATATGATGTCATCTATGGGTCTGCCATATATGGCCTTTATTGTGTTGAGGTATATTCATTATATATCTAATTAGTTGAGATTTTTTTTTTTACCATGAATGAATGTTGGATTTTGCCAAATGCTTTTTCTGTATCTGTTGATGTGATCAACAATTTTTATTCTTCATTCTGTTAACATGGTAAATCACATTCAAGACCCCAAGTGGCCAATACAATTTTGAGAAAGAACAAAGCTGGAAGTATCACACTTTCTGATTTCTAACTTTATTACAAAGCTATGTTAATGAAAACATACTTACTTAAAAACAGACAAACCAATGGAATAGAATAGAGAGCCCAGAAATAAACCCATGCATATCTACTCACCTACTCTTTGACAATGGAGCCAAGAATGTACAATAGGGAAATAATCTCTTTATTAAATTATGTTGTACGTGCTTCACTGGACCCGTACATCACTCACAAAAATGGACTAAAATGGATTAAAGACTAAATGTAAATCTGGAAAGCATAACATTCCTAGAAGAAAACTAAGAAGAGAAGCTCTTTGATATTGGTCTTGTTAATGATTTCTTTTAAAATGACACCCAAAGCACAGGCAATAAAAGCAAAAGTAAATAAGTGGGACTACATCAAACTAAAAAGCTTCTGCACAGGAAAAAAAAAATTCAACAGAATGAAAAGGCAATCTATGGAATGGGAAAAGCATTTGCAAACCATGTACCTGATAAGGAGTTAATATCTTTAAAATATACTGAACTCTTATCATTGAATAACAAAAAAAATAATAATAATTCAATTAAATGGGCCAAGAGCCTGAATATAGACTTTTCCCCAAAGAAGTCACAAATAGGCAACATGAAAAGGTGTTCAACATTGCTAACCATCACAGAAATGCAAATCAAAACCACAATGAGATATCATCTCACAGATGTTCAGTGACTGTTATCTAAAAGACAAGATAACAAACTTGCTGAGAATGTGGAGAGAAGTAGGAATGTAACATGGTTGGGCCACTATGGGAAGCATTAAAAATAGAACTACCATATGATTTGGTAACCTCTACCGTTCAGTTTCTCTATTAAGTTATCCAGGGTGACCAGTACTAATCAAACAACCTTTACATGCAGAACCTGGCTGACAACTAAGGGGTTGAGCAGAGCAATATTTTTGTGAGAAATGTGGAGAAAATATTTGCTAAGTTAAATTTTTCCAATAACTATTAAAGTTAACTCTATATTAACTGTATTCACAGCCATTATGCAGTCTTCATAACAGATTCTGTAGTAGCCAATTATTATTAAATTGTTTAAAACGTTTATGATTTAATATTAACCATTAGCTTTGTTTCTATAGGTGCTCGTACACTTGAAGCACCACTACTGAAAGTAATTGTTGGAAATCCAAATTTGTTGGATGTTACAGCTAAAGGCTCTTTTGACGATACTGATAGATTCTTAATGGAAATTTCTGCAGCTAGCACAGCTTTGCATCAAGTAAGATTTTCTTTAATTACAGAGAAATCATTAATTATAGAAAATTTAGCATGTAAGCTAAGGAAAAGAAGAGTTAGGGTTATGTTTTAAAAGAGTGAGCTCTGGAAAAGACTATCTGAATTGAATTTCATTTCTAGAACTTTCTTTGTGAACTTGAGAAGGTTACTTTGCTGTGGGTTAAGTGTCCTTATCTATAAAATGGAGAGGATAACAATAATACCTACCTCATAATGTTGTTTTGAGAATTAAATGTGATGATTCAAGTAGGGTATCTAAAACAGGAAATGTTCAATCACTTTGAGCCTACAGTATTTTTGCCTAAAATTGGGAGAGCATTATATATACACTTTAGAAAATTTGCTTCTACCACTTAACTATATTTTAATCCTTGCGTCAATAAATTCTTTTCTACATATCCTAAAGCTTTTTTATAATCATGAAAACATGAACATGTAGATAAAAGTAGAATTTTCAATGTATCTTTTAAACTCAAATCAGTCAAGATTTTGCTTTTTTTGTTTTATCATCCCTATCTAATTTTTTGTTTAGATTCTGACATTCATAAACAAATAGCAAACATCATGTCATTTCTCTCCTATTATGCTTCAATATACATCTCTAAAAATCTGTGTATTATCCCTCAGTGCCATTATCATCCCTAAAACTTTTATAACTGAATTTTTGTCTTACAACTTACAAGTCCTATAAAACTCAATCTATAATCAAATTTCCCCAATTTTCTCAAAAAATTTTATAGTTGGTTTGTTTGAATTGAGATCCAAACAAGATCCACATAGTATATAATTAGTTTATCCCTTAAGTCTCTTTTTAGTTGAAAAGTACTATTCCATTTCCTTCCCCTGCCACTGAATTTGTAGAAACAGACATATTATAGAATGCCCAACATTCTGGCTTTTTCTGTTTGCTTCCTGGTCTCTTATTTAACTTGTGCTACCCTGCCATCCCCAAATTTTCTTTAATGGTATAATTATGCTTACATATGGTTCAATGTGTTGGGGCAAAAATTCATTAAAAATACATCAATTTTAATGACTACAGAATGTGGGAATAGAAGCAAAACTACTACTACCAGAGTTTACTCTACCACTGGCATTATTAGTATTTCTACATTCTTAACATTCCAAAAATATTGTAAATTTCAAAGAGAATTTATCAGATTTTATTGAAGGTTTAATATTGTTCCAGATTCAAATATACTTATTGTGCATAAATTCCTACTAAAAGCAGATCTGTGTGAAATACAGTTTTTGCTAAGTGAATAAATGTTTTTTTTTCCAAAATGTGTCCCAATCTGAATTATTTTATTCGTATCATCAAAGCAAATATCCAGGTGCCCCTCAGTGACTGGGGGAAGCCCCATCAATGTGAGTTGGATGTGACTATGCTGTTTCTTTGGAAAGGCCTTCCTGACGCTCGCTCATTTCCAAAAGTTGTCCATATCCAATTCGACTGGAATGTTTTCCTTCCAGGAAAACAATGTGTTTTCTGTCACGATTTATTCTGACACAGATGTTTTTGTCAAATTTATCACTTTATTTCTGTTTTGTTTTGTTTCCTTTTTCTATTACTTTTCTTTTGGTAACTATGTTATTTTGCTAGGGCTACCATAATAAAATAAACAGACTGGGTGGCTTAAACAACACATATTTATTTTCTCATGGTTCTAGAGGCTAGAAGCCCAAGTTCAAGGTGTCAGCAGGGCTGGTTTCTTCTAAGGCCCCTTTTCCTTGCCTTTTTCCTGTGTCTTCACATCATCTTCTCCGTGTGTGTATCTCTGTCCAAATCTCCTTTTGGTATAAGGACACCCGTCACATGGAATTAGGACCTATGCTATTGGCCTCATTTTAACTCTGGTACCTCTCTCAGGGCCCTGTCTCCAAATGCAGTCACGTTCTGAGATGTGAGCTGTTAAGATATCAGCATATGAACTTTGAGTGGGCACATGCATCCTGTAACAGTTACTTTAAATAACCTTCATTTCTTTGGATATTTCCAGGGTTCAACTTCACTGGCACTTATTATCTGGGGAGCATCCACTGACTGCTTCGTTACAACATTTATACCTACATTGAAAAGCAGCTGTAGTTATCTCAAGTCTTTACACCACATTCCTAGCATAGTTATCCCATTGGAAAACTGGATCAGTGGGAGCTACTTGGACAGTCATGATTTTAATATGATCAAAACTTTGCCGGTAAAAAAATATATATTTTTTTAAAACTATATAAACAACAGGCCTCCATCTAATATGGGAGTTGCCATTCCACTTGCAGATAATTTCTAATATATATATTAGAAAAACCTAAGCAAGTTTTAAGAGTACCAGTAAGTATTACTTTTGTGTGATTGGCTAGCCATTCAGTCTTAGCATTCTTTTCTTAAGGTGCTCACAACATTCCAGTTATTGCTCAGTCCTCGTGTCATTTTAAGGATATGATTATTATTTATTTCTAAAATGTAAAAACTTTCAGAAATAATTATTTTTCTTGCTACATTGGTTTTATCATTATTAACATCATTTCTGTATATTAATAGTGGCATAATCTTAGGATTTTGCAAAATGTGAAGTTTTTTGCCCTTATTTTGATCCATCTTGAGTGTGTGTATGTGTGTGTGTGTGTGTGTGTCTATGTAATATATATGCCCCATTTCAATGTAGTAACAATTTTAGTTTTTGCCTTGTCAGAATCTGTGACTCTTTTTTAAAATATAAATGATTACTCTGCTAACTAGCTTAGTAATTATAGTTTTTGTGACAAAAAAAAAAAGCAAATAACCAAACTTGAAGAATTATTTACTATATATGTCACTATGACTTTTTATAAGATGTTTAAACTATTTTGCATTGACTTAATGGCCACTGTTTAGGGTACTAAAAAGTTCTTAACTTATTTACAAGATTCACATTATATTGCCATGGACTAGGGTTGTTGAAATTCCAGAAAATACGGAATTGGGAGTGGAGGGTAAACAGAAATTTACTTTAATACCTGGAACTAAAAGCAAAATATTTGCTTTGAATGCTTTTCTGGAAAGATAAGATATTTAAGTTGAGGACATAGTAAATAATGAGTTCTATATTTTCTTTTTGTTTAATAATCACCTGCAGATAAACTACAGGCCTCCATCTAATATGGGAGTTGCCATTCCACTTGCAGATAATTTTTATAATGTAGATCCTAGCAAACCCATACCAAGAAATCTATTTCACAAGTCAAAGGTAAGTAATATTTTTATAACTAAGCTAGAGGCCCGGTGCAAAACTCATGCCCAGAGTGGGAGGTGTCCCTCAGCCCAGCCTGCACCCTCTCCAATCTGAGATCACTTGAGGGATGTTCAACTGCCTGTTTATATCTGATCCCAGTGGCAGTCGGACATCCCTCTCACAATCCAGGACTGCTGGCTTCCAACTGCTCACCTGCCTGTTTTCCTGATTGCCCCTAACTGCTTCTGCCTGCCAGCCTGATCACCTCCTAACTACTTCCATGCCAGCCTGATTGATGTTTAACTGCTCCTCTGCTGGCCTGTTTGCCCCAACTTCCCTCCTCTACTGGCCTGGTGACCCCTAATTGCCCTCCCCTGCAGAGTTGATGGCCTCCAACTGTCCTCCCTTGCAGACCTGGTCCCTCTCAACTGCCCTCCCTTGCAGGCCTAGTGCCTCCCTACTGCCCTCCTCTGCTGGCCATCTTGTGGTGGCCATCTTGTGTCCACATAGGGGCAGGATCTTTGACCACATGGGGGCAGCCATCTTGTGTGTTGGAGTGATGGTCAATCTGCATATTACTCTTTTACTAGATAGGATAGAGGCCTAGTGCATGGGTGGGAACCCAAGAAAAGGCCCTGGTATCTGAAATTTATTTACCTTCTACAATTGAAACTTTGTAGCCTGGAGCAAAGCCAAGCCTCCTGCTTGCTCCATGGCTACAGCCATTTCTGTATGGATTTATTTACCTTCTATAATGGCTGCCACCATTTTTCTTGGGATTTATCTTCTATAATCAAAACTTCGTATCCTTGAGTGGAGGCCTAGGCCAGCCAGGGTGTGTAGAAACCTTGGCTCCCTCTATTGCTGTGGAAACCCAAGCCTCTCAACTGCTCTCTGTGGCTGCAGCCATCTTGGTTGGGGTTAATTTGTATACTCACTCTGATTGGCTGGTGGGCGTGGCTTGTGGGTATAGCAGAGTGGTGATTGATTTGCATATTACTCTTTTTCTAAGTAGACTAGTATTTATTTGAATTAAAAAATCATTGAGTAAAATTACAGTTGAACATAGCTACAGGGATTAAATGAAAAGGTGCATTTAGTACAATGCTCCATCTGCTCTTTATGGTGATGATAATGATGATGATGGTAGTGATGATGCTGCTGCTGCTGATGATAGTGGTGTTGATGGTGGTGGTGATAGTGATGATGATGATGGTAATGGTGGTGGTGATGGTGATGAAGGTGCTGATTAATGGTGCTAGTGGTGATGATAGTGGTGATAATGATGGTAATGATTATGATTAATACTATTCCTATGGCTACCCGTTTCTCCTACTACTACTTTAGTTCCTCTCGTTTTACTGCTATTTCTGGATATGGCTTTAGAATCAAGGACTCTAAAGAGGTCAGAGAACAAAATAGATTTTTTTAAACACACACACACACACACACACACACACACACACAACAACAACAACAACCCTGCCTTATGTAGTTTACTTTTTTATGGAATATAGTAAATAAAACAAGTAAATAAAATCTGTAAAATTGTAATAAGTACAAAGAGGAAAAATAAGACAGAGGGGTGGGGATGGGTAATAGTGGGGATGGGCATTACAACTCTAAATGGAGTGGTTAAGGAGGGCTTCACATGACAGTAACATTTAAGCAAAAACCTAAGAACAGTGACAGAGTATGCCATGTCATATCTAGCCGAAGAGCATTCCAGACAGACGAATTGTTTGAAACAGCAAATGCCCAGAGTTGGAAATATGCCTGACATACTTGAAGAACAAAGACCATTCCAGGTTGAGGAGGCCAGTGTGACGAGAGCAGATCGACCTTGGAGAAATTGGGTCATAGATAACGCCAAGGCCAAGTTATGGAGGACTTTATAAATCATTGAAGGAACCTGCCTTTTACTCTGCGAGTTGGGAGGACAATGGGCTTTTAACAAAAGAAGTAATTTTATGTCATTGTGTGTGTGTGTGTGTGTGTGTGTGTGTCTGTGTGTGTGTGAAGAGAGAGAGAGAGAGAGAGAGAGAGAGAGAGAGAGAGAGAGAGAGAGAGAGAGAGAGAGAAAGTTCATAAATGAATATGAATGTCTGTACACATAAATAGGCAAGTAGGTGCATTTTTCTAGAGAGAGATTCCACCGGCATCTATAAAATTTCCCCAAGAAGCTACTCTTAATGTACTTTTCCTCTATTCTCTACCTAGTTCTCTCCACACTCTGGAGAGACAGGGTGCTTGCTGGGCTGTTTTCCAGGCAGAACCTCTCCAAGAGTTTAAATGTGCCTCTGTTGGGACAAGCACTCTTCTCTGCTTATGGACACCATGCTTTTCCCTGTGCTGGAGATGCGAGATGGGCCTGGGGCTCTTTTCACTTGAGAAAAGATGCTTTCATCCCATTGATCCCATTTGAAATCTTAGTGGGAGCCAAGAGAGGGGTCATGGATAAAGACTCCTATTTTGTTCTCTTCCGTATCTTTAGTACCAAGAACAGTGCCCAGCATGGGAAATGCTTGCAAATTGTTGAACAAACTAATAATACACATTTACATTCATACTGTTACACGCCCATATGACATGAGGAGGTTGACTTCTTACTGAATCTTAGATTTCAAGATAGTCTCAGCTCCAGAGAATGAGCAACTATAATACCAAGTTCTTCACTTCCAGTTTCTCACATTGATTCTAGTAAACCTTGTGCACTGGAGTCAAGCCTCCTCTATTGAAAGATGATCTTACTAGAGTTACATGGGAATCTTTAGAGGTTTTTCAGGTTTTGGCAGGGGAGAGTTGAATAAGAAATGTATTTAATGTACACCTAAGTAGATGAGAGTTTTTTAATACATCTTTTTAAATTCAACAACTGCTAATTTCAGCATTTCCAGTGTTCTCAGGTGCTGTGCAGACATGCTCTGAGGACACAACAATGAACATGATAAGCATAATACCTTTATGGATCTACACTGTAATGGGGGAGAGCAGGCATTAAAGAAAAAGTTACACAAACTGAATAGCATGATCCAGTGCAGTGTTTGTGAATAGCATGGCCCTGCAGAACTGGAACCAGGATCACTTGGGAATGTTTCTAAAAACACAGCTTTCTCATTCTCACCACATAGCTACTGATTCAGAAACCCTGGGCTGTAGTCCTGAAATCTGAATTTTTTTTTAAATAAAATCTCCCAGTTGATCTTTACCCTAAACTTTAAGATAGACATGTAGCAGAGACACACAAAACACACAATATGACTGTGGGTCAAGGATGCCTACCTAGTCTAAGGGAGCCAAGCTGAAGATACGAGAAAAAGATGAGGAGGAGTGCAGAGGGTAAAGGGCAGACAGAGAGCATTCCAGGGTGAGGCAACACCACAAAGAGTTGGGGAAGGGCTCAGTGACTTTACTCAACAGTATTAGTTGAAAGTTGAATAAAAACTACCATGAGATACCGTTTCACACCCATTAGGAAAGTGATCACAATTTATTACTGGCAAGCAGCTGAGTGATACTTGGAATCAAATTACTCAGTTCTTACAAGTATATTTCTTGTAGCACATGACCTCACACATCTAGGGGAAATAATTAGCATCATAAACTGATGAACAAAAATAGACCCGGAGACAGGGAAGCATTGATCAGACCATCAAACCTCAGAGGGTAAGCAGGGGAGGGTGGGGGAAAGAGGGAGAGATCAACCAAAGGACTTGTATGCATGCATATAAACCTAACCAGTGGTCACGGACAACAGGGGGGTGGGGGCATGTGTAGGGAGGGTTTTGGGGTGGGAATGGAGGGATGAGGACAATTATGTGATACCATAATCAATAAAAAAATAAAATAATTACAAAGCGGGGAGACAACATTCAGAAAGACTTATTACTATTGGACTTTTCCCCCTTTCTCAGGGACTTCATTTATTCAAGGGACAAATATTTATTGAGGATTTACTCAGTTTGTAGAAATCCTGCCACAGGGGGGGAAAAAAGTCAATCTTTATTTAATTTATTTGCAGAATTCTGGTAAATTCAAACAGTGTGCTAATAAATCTACTCGGGAGCAGTGTAATTGCACAACTTACCAGAAGTTTTCATACTCTGTTACTTTCTCAGATTGCAGAGAAAAGGTAAGGTCATTTTTAATTACCTGAAAACAGAATGCTGTCATATTACTTAGATTTTTTGAAATGTGCGTTTTGGTTACATATGAAAACTATGACATAGAAATAATGTCATCTTATGATATAGATCTAAATGTGACACAGAGATAAAAAGATCTGAATTTAATTGTCCTCACACAAGTTAATTAACATCACCTGTAAAATAGTACAATACTGGCACTGCCCTGTCCATTTCACAGGTTCTTATAGACATACCCATTCATATCTACATGTAAACAATTTGTAACCTATCAAACACCCCATCCACTGCCTTATGGCGAACATTGATTCATTCAAAAATATTTAGTATATCAGGTCTTGGATAATAGAAGTTGAAACCCTTATTGTCAAGAAGTTCAGTCTGGTAGTGGTAACAGAATACATCCTCTATAATAAAAGGCTAATATGCAAATCAACCAAACAGCAGAACCACTGGTTGTTATGATACACACTGACCACCAGAGGGCAGTCGCTCAACGCAGGAGCTGCCCCCTGGTAGTCAGTGTGCTCCCACAGGAGGAGCACCACTCAGCCAGAAACTGGGCTCACAGCTGGTGAGCACAGCAGCAGTGGTGGGAACCTCTCCCACCTCCACGACAGCACTAAGGATGTCTAAAGACAGCTTAGGCAGAGTGGGCCTAAGCCATCAGTTGGATATCCCCCAAGGGCTCCTGGACTGCAAGAGGGCTCAGGCCGGGCTGAGAGACTCCCTCAAGTGCACAAATTTCATGCACCAGACCTCTATTGACAGTATAAGATGTTGGTGAAGAAGATGAGTTGTCTCAAATATTTCCTTCTGTTAGTCTCAAAGCATTCAAAGATGTATTGAGTTCATGTTGATGTTTGCATTAGCCAAGTTCAGTATGCACTTGGTAGTGCTTTCAAGTAGATATATTTCAAATGTCTTATAAGACTATATATACTACAATCCTAAGTGATTTATCTTTACATGTAATAAGATATATAGGATAATATTAAGTGATTTATCTCAATAATTGGCATAGGGTTAAAGGCAATAAATTATGAGGGTTGTTTTTTCATACCTCTACAATTCCCCTTTCCTGACTTATAATAATATTTCTCAAGCATTTACTATTTATTAAACACTGCTCTGAGCTGTCACCATGATTTCATTTGAAGAACAGCAAAGCCAGGTAATTTGCCAAAGGTCACGTGATTCATATGTGATGGAGTTAGATTTGAACTCTGACTCCAGAGCCTGAATAAATAAAATCCCCAAGAAAGGAGGAAAAGTCCAATAATAGTAAGTCTTTCTGAATTTTGTCCCCTTGCTTTGTAAGCTGCTTACCAGTAACAAATGGTGATGGCTACCCTAATAAGTATGAAACGGTGTCTCCTGGTGGTTCTGAGTTGCCTTCCCTCATAACTAATAATATTGAGTACAGTTACTGAGCCCTTCCCCATCTTGCCCTGTGTGCATGGTATTTGACTGACAGGGAGAGAGGTATGAGGGAGCCGGACAGTATCCAGGCCATGCAGTGGCTTATGGGATCTATGTCAGTCAGAAAAGTTTGTATGTCCTCATAGTCAAGTCCTGTGAAAAAGGCCCAGAGAAAGTTATGAATTTTGTTAGCACAATGTTTGCAAATTACTTTTGGAGTTCACATTGACTTTGCTGTATATAAGAAGCCCATTTCATTTAGAGTAGCTTAACTCTTGAGGATGTAGCTATGCTTTCTTTACCAGGAAATCAAATTAGTATTGAATTTTCCAAATTTACATTCATTCTTGGCATTTGTCTTTTAGGTTCCTCGTTTTAAGTTTCCCGTTATGCATTATCCAATTTCTTTGGAAATTCACAATGGTTATGGAAATATCCCAGTGGAAACACCATATCTGGTTACTGTGGTGGAAGTGAATGGGAGGAAACTCTGGGAAATCAGTAGGGTTTGCTTCTTTTCTAAAACTATTTTATCTTATATGTGGTGTTGTTATTACCTAGATAAGTGGTTACAAGAATTTCACAAAAGACAGCCAGGAGATCTTTGCAAAAGAATTTGAATTGTAGCTGGAACCGGTTTAGCTCAGTGGATAGAGCGTCGATCTGTGGACTGAAAGGTCCCAGGTTTGATTCCTGTCAAAGGCATATACATTGGTTGCGGGCACATCCCCAGTAGGGGGTGTGCAGGAGGCAGCTGGTCGATGTTTCTCTCTCATTGACATTTCTAGCTCTCTATTCTCTCCCTTCCTCTCTGTAGAAAATCAATAATATATATAATATATATATAATATAATATATTATATATATATATATATATATATATATATATATATATATATATATATATATATATATAGTGACCTGGGCTCTTTGGCATAAAAGCATTTTTGAAGAATTTAAATGTGGAATATTTGAACTCTCTTCTGTAGATATGTAGCAAAAATGATTGATTGGATTTTTGCTACTTGTTGGCCTAAGTGTCCCCTGTCACAGGAGACTACAAAAGGTTTTGCCAGATAAACTATTGGATTTATCTTCTAATCATATAAGAAAATTTCTTAAATATTTTATGGTAAAATAATTGGAAAGACACAGAAATATTTTTAAATAAGAATAACATTTTCCACAATTCAATTTTATCTCAAATATGTAAGCTTTTATTGCATGTTTTGTGATTGTTTTATTGCATGTTTGGTGACTGATCAAAACAAAATTTTAATCAGTCACCAAATATCCAGACTTTTGATATTCAGTGAGTCTTACTCTACCCTACATATGCATTTTTTAGTGAAAAATTAATAAAGAAAATGAAATATTTTGCTTTAACTAACATCCCATTCTCTGTGGCATGCCAAAACCTGCTGTTACCAACTTTTGAGCATTTTTAATACTGGTTCTTAAAATATTGGTAGCTTGAAATTAGCTATGGTGAGAGTATTTGTACCATGGCAATTGGCAAATGCTACAATCATAGCTTTTTTTTTTTCTCTTTAGATCCTGCAATTTCTAACTCCATTACTATACATCTGGGTTTAGAAAGAACTATAAGAAAGGCGGGAATAACTGCTAACTTTGTGAGGAAAAGGTTTCAAATATCTTATTGTGAAACTTTCCAGCCACCTTATTTTAAATCACTTACCAACCACTAAGGTGGTCCTGAAGTTATCTCATTGCCAAAGACACAAAGTATGTGTAGAGTAGAACTGGTCATGAACCTGAATTTAGGTGATTGGAGGTCTTGTCTGTTGCAATAATGCCACTGAAAAGATGTAATGCAAGATGTGAGGCCTAATCTCCCATAAATGTATACTCCACAAAGTCAAGTACAACTAAAAATATAAGATAGCTTAGTCATGTCATGGAGTGGAATCTTTTGTTGTACCTCAATGTATGTAACAAATTTTATACAAAATGAGGAAATAGCATACATGTGCCTAAAATATACTTTTTTGTACTTTTAGAAGACATTGTAACAGAAAATGTAAAGAGGCTGCAAAATTACTTACAATCTATTCTTCGTATTCCAGTATATAATCCTTCCGGCCTCAATTTAAGCATAAAGGTAAGTTGGCAGCATTTTTGTTTTTCTTGTCTTGAGTTTAAATAAAATGTATATGTCTAGCCCTGGTTGGGTAGCTCAGTTGTTTAGAGTGTCATCCCAATACTCCAAGGTTATGGATTCAATCCCTGGTTAGTGCACATATGAAAATTAACTGGCTGACTGGTGTAGCTCAGTGGTTGGGTGTCGACCTATGAACTAGGACAGTGGTCGGCAAACTCATTAGTCAACAGAGCCAAATATCAACAGTACAATGATTGAAATTTCTTTTGAGAGCCACATTTTTAAAACTTAAACTATATATTAGGTAGGTACATTGTTATTAACTTAATTAGGGTCCTCCTAAGCTGGCCTTTGCTAAAAACTCAAGGGGCCAAAGAGCCGCATGTGGCTCGCGAGCCCGTTTGCCAACCACTGAATTAGAAGGTCACAGTTTGATTCTTGGTCAGGGCACATACCCAGGTTTCAGGCTCAATCCCCCAATAGGGGGCGTGCAAGAGACGGCCGATCAATGATTCTCTCTCATCATTGATGTTTCTATCTCTCTCTTCCTCTCCCTTCCTCTCTGAAATCAATATATATATTTGATATTATATATATATATAAAATGATTATATATATATATATATATATATATATATATAATCAACCAGTGAATGCATAAAGAAGTGGGACAACAAATCAATGTTTCTCTCTCTCTCTCTCTCTCTCTCTCTCTCTCTCTCTCTCTCTCTCCTCCATCCTCCCTTTCTCCCTCTCCCTTCCTCTCTCTCTAAAAAATAAAATTTTTAAAAATCAATAAATAAAAATTTACAATTTTTTAAATGTATATGCCTAAACTTAAAGTATATGAAGAGTGTTTATTTTTCCTACATTTCCTTCTATGTTATTAATTCTAAAGATATATGTAAGTTAAACTTAGCATTAACTTAACATTTTTTGAGCTGATAGACAAGACCAAATCATTATCTATCAAGGTGGAGCAGATGGGTGTATCAAAAGCTAGGGGGAAATGGGCTCTGGTTCCAGCTGCCCATTCAGACACATGAAGTTGGTGTGATCTAAGTAACTGTTGAGAAAGCCAATGAAAGTTAGGGGACCTATTGAAACCATGAATGTGTGGATTAGCTCAATGTACATATCAAGGCCATGTTGGGTTTCATATTTCTGTTTCATCACTCTAAAGGTACAGTAGCAGCGATCTGATCCCTCTGTTTCAAACTCTTGTCCTTCTCCCTCCATTTTTATTTTGCCAACACAGTATATGCTCAGAGCCTTCAGGGGACTGGAATTTTTAGCATAACATCTATGGGGAAAGGGGCCCCAGTGTATACTTTTACTTAAAGGAACATACATGTCGATGCTAATAATGGTCCGGTATGCTTATTCCACAGGGCTCCGAGCTTTTTCACTTCAGAGTGTCCGTTGTTCCAGGAGTCACCTTTTGTAACTTAGTTGAAGAATTTCAGGTACAGTAAATACACAGGTGTCAAATGGAGTGGTGGCTGAGGAAATAACACCGCAGGCATGTGTCCAAAACACACTGGAGGTTAAAAATGGCAGAATCTGTGTGACGGACAAGGCTTGGAGACAGGGGACCTGTAGAACGAAGGTGACATTGTCAGGGATGATGTTGTTAGGGCGAGTGACAGGTGGCAGGACCCATCGGTGCTGGGGAAATTTTAATAAGCATCTGTATTTGTTTTTGTTCCCTCTCCACCTGCCATATTCATCTAGGTTTCCTGACTTTTTTTTTTAATATATTTTATTGATTTTATACAGAGAGGAAGGGAGAAAGATAGAGAGTTAGAAACATCGATGAGAGAGAATCATCGATCAGCTGCCTCTTGCACACCCCCTACTGGGGATATGCCCGCAACTAAGGTACATGCCCTTGACCGGAATCGAACCCGGGACCCTTCAGTCCCCAAGCCGACGCTCTATCCATTGAGCCAAACCGGTCCCGGCGGTTTCCTGACTTTTAATGCTCTTCCTCTCACCCTCCCCTTCCCATAGTCACATGTGTCTGTAAAAATCAGTTTCCAGTGCTACCCTGCCTTTGGGTAGGAGCATTGTAAGAGTAAGGTTTTAGATCTTCCAAAAGCTATCAAGGTCTAAAGGATGTGGCACCCAAATCAGCCTCCCCACATCCCCCTATGATGTGCAATGACTCGCTTTTGCTGACTCATACATTGACATCTGCTGCCTGTGGGGAATGAGAAGGGATGAGGATCTGATTACATTGATTGATTACTCATTCATTGTCAAATACTGATGCAACATTATCAATAACAAGATCAACCTCCCCTCCCCCGCCCCCACCTCCTTTCCTTTCGCTGTCCTGGCCCTCCCCTAAGTCCCACCCCAGCGAGGGATCTTAGACCTGCGGTGCTGAGAGGCCATGGCGGCAGTGCAGAGGCCCAAGATCCTGAGAGAAAATCCCGCTGGAGAGAGGAAGTAGGAAAGAGGCACTGATCTATGAAGCTCATCAGAGGGAATCCCATGATTTTCCTCTCCTTTTTCTCACCTCTCTGTTCCAAAGGCAGCCCCAGTTTCAGGGAACACCACCAAAGAACAGGGACTATGAGGGAACTTAGCCAACACTGAGGGAGCAGAACAGAGCGATGGAGGAAAAGACGTTTAATTACAAGATTTCCTCTGATGTTCCCTAACCTTGGCACAGAAAAGAAAAGTCACCTTTGCAATTTCATGTGGCACATGATTGTCTTTCTCATTGGTTACAGACCAGATCTTTCTTCATAAAACCAAATATCTGGTCTCCTCTGATGACCCAGCCCCAGGAAAGATTTTTTATTATCTTGTAGTGCCATAATGAAGACCACGTTCAAAATCTAACATTTTCCTCTCAAATCCCCCACAATTCCAGTACCATTGGGTACATAATCTGAGCTCTAAAGTACAATAGGAGATGGTTAAACCAGTGAATCCATTCTGATGACGATATTATCTTTCCAGATTGGAAAGAGGTTTCTCACTGCTCTCCACACCACCTCCAGATCTACCTTTCAAATTGTGTTGATTATAACACCTACGTCTGCTACTAGTTCTATATGTTCAAGGTTCTTTTAGTTGCATAAAGCAACCTCACTTTTTTTTAAGTGTTTTATAGAGAGGCTGGTAGTTAAGATTACTCTGACAATGTGTTGCACCCATATGGGCTGACAGCTTGGCCAGAAGTAGCTTCTTTATACAAATTGAGACAATAAAGCTCGAGGTAGCAATATTGGAAGTGGGCTGGAAATGATGAGTCTGAAAGGGATTCTGGGAGAATTGATGGCATAGGGGGTCTGTTTCTGAGAAAACAGCTACCTCCTCGGGTTACTGGGAGGACAGTGGTACCTTTAACTTGCCTTTTACCCCAATCCAATCTTTTTCTTATCCATTCGCACTTTCCCATATTCCCCACTGTTCTATTTCCATTCAACTCCACTTTTTTTCTACCTCAAAAGATGCTCTTGCTTCCTACTTCACCCAGAGAACAAGCACCTGGGCTTGAAGCACCTTAGTCCCCATATGCACCCCCTTCTGCATGTCACAGGAATGGAACCCGTCTTATCCAGAGGCTCAGAGGAAAAGGCATCTCTGTGGGTCCCGTCAGTATCCATCTCTCCTCCAGGAACTCGTCTACTAATTACCCATTCAGGCAGAGAAACCATTTGGAATACAGAGAAACTTTTCTCTATTTTAGCACTCAAGTGGAGGATTTTTCCAAAGAGAGGATAGCTTGAGTGAGCACATGCTTATTCCCTCTACCTGGAATGTCCCCTCTGCTCCTTCTCTTCAGGGAGCTCACTTATTGGTTGAGATTCTGCTCAGGAAGTGCCTTTCCTGACCATGTGGGACCGTTCAACGTGTCCTGGTCGTGTTCCCATGGCACCGGGTGTGGTCCTCCAGAACCGAATTTAGGACATTGTCCCACCACCTGTGGTTCTATCTGCCCACCTCTGCCCCTAAAGACACAGGATAAAGGCCTAGGACAATCAGAATTCTCCCTTCCTGTCTATTGAGTGCAAGTTCCTGCGTAACCAAATTATCAAGAGACTGGTTCCAAGCTTTATGGCTGCTGAATAAGTCTGGGCGGAATTTTGCTAAATGCTTGCTAGTGTCTCCACTGTGTGGGAACCATAAAGTTCAGTGTTTTGAGTTATTAGGCTCAGAAAGCTGATTTTGCTTCTTCTGTTGCAGATTTACGTCGATGAGGTACCACTGCAATTCCCAGGACACACTCTTATTGCCATCACCACCGCTGTGGTCCTAGGGGGCTTCATTTTTATAGTATTTATGTTTCAAATTCATAACATAAGCCTGGGCAAAAGATACCAAAAATTCATTATAAGAAACAAAGTGAATTAACCACATATCAGTACCAGTTGACTAAATCATGAAAATCTGAATAGTGAATTTAGGATTATCTTCATTTTTCTCTTTGTTTCCTCGTTTTACTAGACAATTCCTAGAACAATGCATTTAAATGTTAATATAAGAACTAGATAAAATACTACAGAATTGTCATTAAAACTCAAAGTTGCCATTTGTCTATGTGTTTGCCATTTTGTTCTCCTATTTTATTTTACACACATAGAATATTGTTCTGTTGACCCTTATATACAGGATTTTCCCTCGAGATTCTTAGAAAAATATTGAATGATAACCATCTCGGGGGGAATTGGATTTTCTGTATTTTTCAGCTTTTATTGACTGGAGCCCATTCTGTGGGGCCTGGACCCCTGAGCCTGCTGGGGTATGGCAGGTGGTGAAGGAGATTAACCTGCAGGTGTGCTTGTAGAGCATCTTGAGAATTAAAGTCAGAGCCAGTTGGGGTTCTCAAAGCAATCTCACCAGCAGATTGTAATACTAGCAAGAGACACAGGACCTCCCTCTTGGGGGTGTTGGAAGGACATCGTGTCTGGGCGTGTTATGTTTGACAAACCTCTGTGCAGCATGTAGAATTCCAAAAATGAATCTCTGTGTGCTGTCTGACTGCCCGTTCCCACACTGTCAGAGGATGGCCATTCATTCATGGAGCAGTCAAGCTCCTGGGGAAGCTCAGGAGCAGCAAGACGGGAGGAGAGGCAGTTCTGAGAGCTGGACATCATGGCTGTGCTGTCCAACATGCACGTTCTTCTCCGAAGCTTGGGAGCAAGGCACGTACAAGAAAGACAGACATCTGTAGTTTGCCCCTGCATCATCACCTGGCATGATGCCAATACTGGGCAGGGTTTACCTCAGTCAGTCCAATCCCCAAGAAGCCCAGCTACAGCCTTAGCTGGCCTACTGAATGCCAGTACAGAGTCACTGTGACAATGAACTGAGAACATGTTATGTTCTTCAGTCTTTGATCAAACATCTCCTAACTCCCAGCCCATGAAAACTTCCCCAGAGGGTTGACAATAAAATGAACACATCTCTATAACTTGCAAGTGCATGGTGTAACTCTTTTCTATTCTGATTATGCTTAACACCCTCCCTCCATTTACTTTGAATCAGAATCCACCATTTGATGAAGAATGGGGCACAGGAGGGAGTTTGAGCTTTAGCTACATGGGCAAGTGGTGAAGGTTTCACCGAGGGAAGCATTTTGATGTTATTTGGTTGGCTGAGTAGACAATCAACGTTTACAGTAGCAGCACCCTTCCGATCTCAGCTCTCAGTGGGCATGGCAATAAACATGTGTTTCTTGCTCACCGGCCTGTGGACAGGCCGTGGTCGTTCTGCTCCAGGCAGGTCTGTCCCACACATTCGCCCTCTGCAATATGGGCTGAAGGCCATAGTCACCTGGCAGCTCTTCTCATGGCACAGTCCCAGACACCAGACCCAGCCCAACCATCGGGACTGTCTAAAGCAGTGGTTCTCACCCTTCTTAATGCCTCAACCCTTTAATACAGTTCCTCATGTTGTGATGACCCCAACCATAAAATTATTTTCGTTGCTACTTCATAACTGTAATTTTGCTACTGTGTTTTCCGGTGGTCGTAGGCCAGTGGTCGGCAAACTCATTAGTCAACAGAGCCAAATATCAACAGCACAATGATTGAAATTTCTTTTGAGAGCCAAATTTTTTAAACTTAAACTTCTTCTAACGCCACTTCAAAGACTTGCCCAAGCTGTGGTGTTTTGTGGAAGAGCCACACTCAAGGGGCCAAAGAGCCACGTGCGGCTCGCGAGCCGCAGTTTGCCAGCCACTGTCTTAGGTGGCCCTGCTAGCATTTCTCGGCCCACAGTAGAGCCTAAGATCATCGGAAAACACAGATATTTACATTACAATTCATAACAGTAGCAAAATTACAGTTATGAAGTAGCAACGAAAATAATTGTATGGTTGGGGGTCACCACAACATGAGGAGCCGTATTAAGGGGCCGTGGTATTAGGAAGGTTGAGAACCACTGAAAGCAAGGGACGCACGTCGTGCTCCATTAGCCAAATCAAATCACACTGCCGCTTGCCCTGTACCAGTGGACAGGGAGATGTACTACTCTCATTCCAAATACCAAGGATTCCACTCTTACCTGGATGCTTAGGTATCTGTTGCCCCGAGACCACCTCCACAATTCAGTGACACAATAACCATTTTATTGGTTCAAGATGGCGTAGTCTGGGCTGAGCTTAGCTGCCTGGTTCTTCAGGTCTTGCCAGTAGTCATTCGCACATGGACTTCAGCAGGCAGGGGCTGGGCCCCACTAAGCACCTGGTGTCTGAGCTTCTTTCTCTCTGTGGTCTCAGGGCCTCTCCCTTTTCAAAAGGCCAACCCTCTTGGACTGTCTATCTAGCATCTCTATCAGGGTAGCTGGAGCCCTCATATGGCCACTCAGGGCTCCTAAAAAAAGAGGAAGCTGCCACACACGCCCAGTACCAGCACAACATTACCCACATCTTATTGGCTAAAGGATGTCTAACCTGGATTTAAAGGGAGAGGACTATGCATGATTATGAATATTGACAGGTGAGGTTCCTTGAAGGCCACTTATGCTATAGACTATCAGAAACCACCTGCTCAGCAAGCCCAGGCTCCTTTGTATGCTGGGGCTGGAATGTGCAAGATGGCTTCCGAACTCCCATATCTGGCTCCTCAGCTGGTTTGACTGGAGTAGCTGGCCGGCATCTGTCTCCCTACATGGCCTCTCCATGGAGGTAGCTTAGGCTTACTTACAGACTTGTGCTGTCATAACAAGTGGACTTCCTACATGAACGTTGGCTTCCAAAACACAAAAATGGGAGCTGCCAGACCTTCTTTAATATTTGGACAATGAAGTCTCGGAATGTCTCTTCTGCTTCATTCTATTGGTCAAGGTGTCTGAATGCCAGCCCAGATTCAAAGAGAGGAGAAATACACTCTATCCCTGTGGAGCTGCAAGGTGACATTGCAAAAGAGCCTGTGGGTCAGGAGGAATTGTTTTGGCCATCTTTGGAAATGTAACCTGCCACTTAGATGTTCACCAAAGAAATCTACTTGGGCTGTGAATTCAACTAGCAATCCACTTCAGAGATCCACAATATCAGTTTTGTACCAGCTCTTCATCATCTCAGCTTTTTTAAAAATATATATTTTATTGATTCTTTACCGAGAGGAAGGGAGAGGGAGAGTTAGAAACATCGATGCGAGTGAAACATCAATCAGTTGCCCCTGCGGATGTGCCCGCAACCAAGGTATGTGCCTTTGCCCAAAATCGAACCTGGGACCCTTGAGTCCGTAGGCCAGTGCTCTATCCACTGAGCCAAACCAGTCAGGGCTCATCTCAGCTTTTGATCAGCAGGCAATGAAAGCTTCATTCAGACGGATCACAAAATAGCTCTGACCAAGACTATTTTGTATAGACTGGTGATTTAGAAATTTCAGTTTGTCAGCACCATCAGAAACAACCATTCAAACCTGAAGAACCAACATTCCTTTATCAGTATACACCCCCTTCACCACAACCCAGCCCCATGTCATGTCACACTCAGTGGGCCCAAGACCCTGCACTACCCCAGGCAGCTCCAGGCTGCAGCAGCAGGCATCCCTGGACTTTTTCACACACGGCCATTGTGTGACTAACTGCTACCCCACCACAACTTCCATCTCTGGATCTCTGACCCACGTTAAAAATCCTAAGCAAGAATTGGCTGAAGGAGTCAAAAGCATTTGGTTATTCATAGATGGATAAGCTATGGTCAGGGCACTGGGTCACGCAACGCAGACCTAGCACTTCTGTTCGTTGGGACCATTCCCAGAGAAGAAAAAAATAATCATTTTTCAGCTTGGCAATGCCTCCACTTGGCGAGGAACAGGAAACGTTGCCTGCAGCCTATGGAGAACAGAGAGGATGCCTGAGAGGTGAGTATCAGGGACTATGAAAATGGAAGCAATGGGCTAACTGCAGTGCTGTGCAGACGGAAGGGAGGGGGAAGAGCTGGGATTGGTGGACCAAGCTGGAAGTGGGACACACATTTCTCCTTCCACCTTCAAGCAGGTAGTGTGCTCACCCCATCAGCCCCATCAATGCACCAGTCTTTTCACCTGTAGCTCCCAATGTGCAGCCGTGGGCAAGGCAGGGGTGCTGCCAGTCACCTAAGCTCAGCACCTTAGTTTGGTGGTGATGAACTCCTTTAGCTTTTTTTTTTTTATTTGTGAAGCTCTTTATCTGGCCTTCGATTCTGAGTGATAGCTTTTCTGGGTAGAGTATTTTTGGTTGTAGGTTCTTGCTATTCATCACCTTGAATATTTCTTGCCATTCCCGTCTGGCCTGCATGGTTTCTGTTGAGAAGTCAGCTGACAATCGTATGGGTGTTCCTTTATAGGTAACTACATGCTTTGCTCTTGCTGCTTTTAATATTCTTTATCTTTTGCTATTGGAATTTTAATTATGATGTGTCTTGGTGTGGTCCTCTTTGGATTCCTTTTGTTTGGGGTTCTGTGTGCTTCCTGGACTTGTAAGTCTAATTCTTTCACCAGGTGGGGGAAGTTTTCTGTCACTATTTCTTTCAGTATGTTTTCTGTATCTGGCTCTCTCTCTCTTTTTCTGGGATGACCCCCATAATTCTGATGTTGGTTAGCTTGAAATTGTCCCAGAGGTTTCTTACATTATCTTCAACATTCTTGATTCTCTTGTTTTCTTGCTTCTGCAGAGGAGTGTCTTCTAGCTCTTCATGTTCCAAATCTTTGACTTGATTCTTGCGATCTTCCATTCTGTTTTTAGAACTCTGTATAAAATTTTTTTTATTTCAGACAATGTATTCTTTATTTCTAGTTGATCCCTTTTCATATCCTCATAGGTCTCATTTATTTTATCAGCTTTTTCTAGGAAATTCTTAAAAAACCTTAAAACCATGTTTTTGAACTCTATATCCAGTCTCTTTTTGTCCTCCATTTCTTTAG